TGGGGCCCAACTGCTTCAGTTCTACCATATACTACCTGTATGAACTGGACTAATCACTTAAGTTTTCTGTGCCTCCATTTCTTCACTTCTCAAATGACAACAATAAGAGTATCTCTTTCATATGGTTCATGTGAGGAATACATAGCCTAATATATGTAAAGCAATTAGAACATCACCTGGCACTCAGTAAACACTCAATAAATGCTACCTAACATTGGTATTAAAACCAGTGTGAGTATCAGTAATCTTCCACAGAGACAATAGTCTAAGGAATAAAGACATTACACTTAAATACTAGGGAAACAAGACAGAGATAACTAAAGTATAATATAAAAACCTCACCTACAAACTGGCAAGAAATTACAGTATAAAAACTTATAACCTAATTTCTGAAGTTTTGTTGTTTAGAAACAGAGTACTCAGTCAAGCCATAATACTCATGCTCTTGACAAATTACATACCATTGTTTGCCATGACACAATCCTCTAAGGCATGACAATGGAGATCAGTGAATCTTCTAATATGGCACACGTAGAGTGGGATTTTAACTAGCCACCATATGAAGTGGCTAGGCATACTTGAGACTAACAGATGTTCTACCCCTGTTCAAATAATAGCCAACAAAGTTACTGCCACAGTACCCTAAGAGCTAAGAGAAAGACTTACAACCTAATCATATTTATTGTCTTCCTTGTTGCTTTCTCTTCTGCCTTTGACCCAATCTAATTCAAAATGCCTTTCATGAAATGAATGTTTGCACTTTGTACTTTGGCCATATGACTGAGTTGTAGAACTGTGTATCAGACTCAGCTGATCATTTCAGGTATAAAGGCATACCTCTTTTCTCTGCTCAGTTACACACCTTCCATCAATATTCTGAGTCACTGACCTGTCCGGAGAGCTACCCTATTGTTCTATAGACTAACTCAAGCTCCTTTATCTGCTCACTCATCTTTCCCTTTTTTTTTTTTTTTAAGACAGTCTTGCTCTGTCTCCCAGGCTGGAGTGCAGAGGTGCAATCTCAGCTCACCATAACCTCTGCCTTCCAGGCTCAAGGGATTCTACTGCCTCAGCCTCCTGAGTAGCTAGGATTACAGGCGTGCACCACCATGCCTGGCTAATTTTTATATTTTTTAGTACAGACAGGGTGTCACCATGTTGGCCAGGCTGGTCTCAAACTCCTGACCTCAAGCAATCTGCCCACTTTGGCCTCCCAAAGTGCTGGGATTACAGGTGTCAGCCACTGCACCTGGTCTCTTTTCCTAAAGTTCAGTTCAATTTATATAAAAAGCAAACTTCTGGCCAATAATTCACAATTGGGTAATTCACATATGGCTAATCAAGAATTGGCTGCATTTTAGAATGCAATTTTAAAATTAAATTTAGACTTCACTAAACAAAGATATCTACTTATTAATTTTTCTAATCTAACTAGAGAGTTAAAGAATTGATAGACTACAAACATAGTATGGTGCCATCTTTGAGGACAGTATCAAAAACTTTTGTGTTTATTTTCTAAACTGAATAATTGTTAATACATTGCCATAATAACATAACATTTCCTATTTCCTTACACACTAATTCACTTAATCCACACAATCCTTTGTGCTAGACATTACTATCTCCATTTTATAAACGAGGAGGTACATAAACACCAATGAAATAGATGCATGTTATTTTGTTAGGCTCTTCAAAAAGTTCTTATTCTAGAGAAAAGGCTGTTCATGAGAAAAGTGGTTAACTGAAATGAAATATTCCAAAGTAAATTTTCAATCTCTTCAATAATGCTAAGCAAGCCCTTTACAACCTAAAAGTTCTCTCCCTCCACCAATACTTTCTCTCTGTAGTTAAATGTTTCTGCAGTACTTCTTGTTCTGAACATGCTAGGCCTGGCGAGACAAGAATTTGCCTTGGCCCTCCTCAGCTACCTAATAAATTCATACAGGACACACCGAATGCAATAATAGCCAGGGATGTGGCCTTTCATGGCTTTTGCTAAACCTTTGACTGGCCTTGCAAAAAATATTTTTGAACTTTAGAATTTATTACCTAATTACAACAAGGGACGGTATAACTGATTAATTAAGTCGCTCAAAACCAAATTTGAATTGTGTTTACCTGTCATCTAAATGTCATAGTAGATAACAGTTCTAGGTACCACTGACAAATGGTGAAAAATGTGCTGTACACATCTGTAAGTAAACTTAAGACTGACTTAAGAAAAGCATCCAAGTTAGAATTGAAAGTGTTCCCCTCCCCCTGCCCCAAGGTTTAGCTATAGAAATAAATAAGATGAGCCCTTTAATTTGAATCAAAGTGGCATTTAGGAAATTAAGTAGTTATATTCTACAAGAAGCACAAAGACAAAAAGAATATCTAATCCTTTGTTGGCAGAAAATTACTTTATATAATTTGTACAAAAGCAAATATCAGTATGTGTGCTGCTGATTGTGAGATAAATGAGAGGAAAAGGAAAATCCTAGAATTTTATAAATTAAAAATAAAATTTCAAAATGCAATAGAAGTTACTAAACATACCTATAGGAACGCAATGAAGAACAAAAAATTCTGCATTTAGAACTAACTATATATGTTTTTAAGTGTAAAGCTCAGAAGGGGGTTTTCCTGTTAACTAGGGATTAAATTCTTAAGGACCATCTAGTTTTTATTTTCATCCTTTACTGAATTGTTTTTGAGTTCTGAAACATTTCTCTGCCTTAATATGTGCAATATTCAAAATATAAAACCTACATATAATGTCATTTAAGAGCATCAGAGCAACCATTATGATATATTTATTATATAAGAATGCAAACATATAGAGATTCCTACAATAATAGAAATGGAAATATACCTGAATATCTAAGACCACATCTGAAAGGTGTCTTCTAAATTAAATCCCAATTATCAAAATCAATTATTAACAAATTCCCATTAAATGTGTTCATTCAATTCCAGTTAATTTTGGCTAACCTAGGCTGGGCACGGTGGCTCATGCCTCTAATTCCCATTAAATTTGTTCATTCAATTCCAGTTAATTTTGGCTAACCTAGGTTGGGCACGGTAGCTCACGCCTGTAATCCCAGCATGTTAGGAGGCTGAGGCAGAGGAATCACTTGAGGTCAGGAATTCAAGACTAGCCTGGCCAAAATGGTGAAACCCCATCTCTAAGAAAAATAGAAAAGTTAGGAGGACATGGTGGTACGTGCCTGTAGTCCCAGCTACTCAGGAGGCTGAGACAAGAGAATCTCTTGAACCTGGGAGGCACAGGTTGCAGTGAGCCGAGATCATGCCACTGCACTCCAGTCTGGCGACAGAGTCAGACTCTGTCTCAAAACAGAAAAAAAAAAAAAAAAAAAAAAAGGTCAGGCCTAATTTTGGCTCACCTAAACTTTATTAAATCATTCTGCAAATATTTATTAACCACCTAGTGGTTCTAGATAACTTAGCTACAATGGGGAGGAAAAAAAAGAGTCCCCGCCACTTGTTTTACATATCCTAATATTAAAGTCTATAATATTAATAGACTTTCAAACGCTTAACTGTGTTCAGATCTCTTGATAAATATATTTCTCAAAATATTTGGAATCAACAACTTATCATTCAGTAGTATTCCAAAGAGAAATTCTAAAAAGGAAGAGGGTTATCTGGCACAGAACTATGCCAGCAAAAATGAAATAGATTTCTTTTTCAGGAAATTTAAATCACACTGCCAAAATACAGAATCTAGACCGGGCACAGTGGCTCATGCCTGTAATCTCAGCGCTTTGGGAGGCCGAGGAAGGCTGATCACTTGGTCAGGAGTGCAAGACCAGCCGTGGCCAACATGGTGAAATCCCATCTCTACTAAAAATACAAAAATTAGCCGGGTGTAGTGGTGGATGCCTGCAGTCCCAGCTATTCAAGAGACTAAGGCAGGAGAATCACTTGAACCAGGGAGATGGAGGTTACAGGGAGCCGAGATCGTGCTACTGCACTCCAGCCTGGGCGACAGAGTGAGACTCTGTCTCAAAAAAAAAAAAAAAAAAAGAATTTAATATTTCTCATATAATGCTCAAACTATTTTTCTTTTAATCTATTCCTGATTGCCTTATTATATTAAATAATTGATTTTTTAATATCACTTGGCATTTTATGTGCTTTAATAGAGCACATTTTGCTTTACTAAACCACAATGTGTTTAGGCAGCACCAAAGCAGTAAAATATGCATCTTAAAAGTTAAGAGATTTCTTGGCAACAATTTTAATTCCCCCAAATAATCAGCATTCTGAATATATGACAGTAACTGGTAGAATTGTATAACATATAGATGTCTTGTTGTGACCTTTTACATCTCCCTCCCCCAAATGTATCAGTAACTTTACCCTAGTTATAACTGGAGTAGCTATAAATATATAAATACATAGATATTATATATTAATATAAATGCAATATATAACTTGACCAAGAACATTTCTATTTATTTAAGCACATTAAAATTAATAGGTAAGCTAAACTATAAACCTTCGTGTGAAGGGGAGGGAGAGGAGAGTACGAATTGGGAACAAATGCTAATGTGTATGGGATTCCTTTTTTGGGTGTTGAAGATGTTCTAAAATTAGAGTGTGGTGATGGTTGCACAACTCTGAGAATATACTAAAAACGACTGAACTGTATGCTTAAAATGGGTGAATTTTATGGTATGTGAAAGATATCTGAATAAAGCTGAGGAACAAAAGTCCTCCATATAAACAAGTTCATCAAGATCCTGTCTCTAAAAGCACCCACAGATATATAACTATTGCTTCCCTTATTGTCCAGTTCCTATATAATTAATCCATCATTTTATTCACTAAGGGAGCTACTAATTTTAAAGATAACAATTGAAAGTAGTATAATATCCCATCTTTGGGATTCAGTTTTGCTTAAGTCAATAGGGGTCTTAAACAATTACTACTTCACATAACTTTAAGACAAACCAATCACTCCAAAGAAAACACCTCTACATAGGTTCTTATACCTGGTAATCCAAAATGCTGAATCCCAAACCTTTACAATCTTTTACTAGTTCAACAATCTTGACTTCAGGGGACCACAGTGCTAATTCCCCATCATCATCTTCTTCAGCATTGACATCCATATCGCGGTCAATCTGAAATACCAAAGAAGATAAATGCTTCAAAACACTATGCTTTCAATTCTGAAAAGAATGCACATATCAAGAATCTCACAGCTTCTTCTCAAACTGGGAATTCTCTTTGGCATGCGTAGTTTTTCTTTCTAATCTTTGCAAAAGGGCCATGCTCTGGGGCACACACACTCCAGGATAATATCTTCATAAAAATTCAAGCGCTTAAAAATTCAGACTGTTCATACAGTTTTTTTTTTATTAATGTAAAGAATTTATTTCATTCAAAGTATTAACACTGACCTCTTATACTTCAATGAGTTCTGTCATCCCATTAGAAGCATAAAAGGAAAAATATGCAATTTAAGTAAATGAAAACATCATACATAGAAGAAGCTTATAAGATATGTAAGTAGTGATACCTGGATTCATAATTACAGACAGAGACAAAGAAAGAGATGTCAACACAGAGACAGGCTGGAGCAGGACAGGGAAACCACTTCTGCTGGCTCCTGGAAGTTTTCAAGAAAAACTTTACTAGAAAATAAGGTGAGAAAAAAAAAAATCCAAGTCTTTGGTCATCACATAAGTCTAAAATGAAAAAAAATCACTGAGTTGAAATAATGAAAACCTAATCTTAGAAGAAATAGGTCAGCACAACTGCCCAGCATACAGTTCCTTTGTTACTTTTCTTGATTTTCCTCCTGAAAGTCCCTCTATTCTAGACACCCTGTCTTTTTAGGAAGAAGAGTCATTGCTATGTGGAATTCCAGGAAGTTAAATGAGAGGGTCTATGAATCTACTATGCAGAAGAAAGGCTGCTTCAAAAAACCTTCTGTTTTTATACTAATTATAGCATTGTACTGTTGTTTTCATCTGATTGACATTCCCCAAAATACTCTAAACTTCTATCTGAAGCTCAAAACTTATCTTTTATAGCCCAAGCAATGAACAAAACACCTGGCTCCTAAGTTAGAATGGAAACTCTACGAGGCCTACCACAGAGTTTACCATGGTTATCAGCTCAACCGTAAAATGCCTGGCTCATAGTAGGTATAAAATAAATATTTGTTCAATAAATTAAAAACTACCTATCTTTCAGTGTGTTTCTCTTGAAACTCCTTCTCAATAAAGGTACCAAGTAAATAATTTTTTAAAGCAGACTTCCTAAAACTTTGGGTAACCTCAGTAAATAAAAATGCATCATCTCTACAAACATAATTTTGAAACACCAGTTTAAGAGCATCAATTTAATGTAATCAAAAAAGAGAAGGGAAAAACCCTATATAATTAGGAAAATAGCTAGTTTAAAAATTTTATTTTATTTATGTATTTATGTATGTATTTATTCTTTCCAACATTTTAGGTTCAGGGGGTATGTATGCAGGTTTGTTACATGGGCAAATTGTGTGTCACAGGAGTCTAATGTACAGATTATTTTGTCACCCACATAATAAGCATAGTGCCTGACAGGTAGTTTTCTCATCCCCACCCTCCTACCCTCTACCCTCAAGTAGGTCTCAGCGTATATTCTTCTCTTCTTTGTGTCCATGTGTACTCAATGTTTAGCTCCCACTTATTAGTGAGAACATGTGGTATTTGGTTTTCTGTTTCTGCTTTAATTTGCTTAGGATAATGGCCTCTGGCTCCATTCAGGTTGCTGCAAAGAATGTGATTTCATTCTTTTTTCTGACTGGATAGTATTCCGTGGTATCTATGTACCACATTTTCTTCATCTAATCCACTGTTGATGGGCATGAGGTTGGTTCCATGTCTTTGCTATTGGAAAAAGTACTGTGATGAACATACGCATGCATCTTTATGGTAAAACAACTTATATTCCTCTGGGCATATACAAAGTAATGGGACTGCTGGGTTGAATGGTAGTTCTGTTTTAAGTTCTTTGAGAAATCTCCAAAATGCTTTCCACAGTGACTGAACTAATTTACATTCCCACCAGCGGTGCTAAGTATTTCCTTTTCTCCACAACCTCCCCAGCATCTGTTATTTTTTAACTTTTTAATAATGGTCATTGTGACTGGTATGAGATGGTATCTCACTGTAGTTTTGATTTGCATTTCTCTAACGATCAGTGATATTAAGCATTTTTTCATATAGTGGTTGGCTGCATATATGTCTTCTTTTGAGAAGTGTCTGTGCGTGTCCGTTGCCCATTTTTTAAAGGGGCTGTCTGTTTTTTCTTGCTGTTTTAAGTTATTTCTAGATTCTGGATATTAGATCTTTGTCAGATGCATAGTTTACAAATATTTTCTTTCAGTCTGTAGGTTGCCCGTTTACTCTGTTGATAGTTTCTTTTGCTGTGCAAAAGCTCTAGTTTAATTAAGTGCCACTTGTCAATTTTTGTTTTTGTTGCAATTGCTTTTGAAATCTTCATCATGAAATCTTTGCCAAGGCCAATATCCACAATGGTAGTTCCTAGGTTTTCTTCTAGGGTTTTTATAGTTTTAGGTTTTACATTTAAGTCTTTAATCCATGTTGAGTTGATTTTTGTATATGGTGAAAGGAAGGGGTCCAGTTTCAATCTTCTGCATATGGGTAACCAGTTTTCCCAGCAACATTTTCCAAATAGGAATTCCATTCCCCATTGCTTGTTATTGTCAGCTTTGTTAAACAGCAGATGATTGTAGATGTGTACCTTTATTTCTAGGTTCTCTAACCTGTTCCATTGATCTATGTGTCTATTTTTGTACCAGTACCATGCTGTTTTGGTTACTATAGGCTTGTAGTATAGTTTGAAGTTGGGTAGTGTGATACTCTGGCTTTGTTCTTTTTGCTTAGGACTGCTTTGGCTATTTGGGCTCTTTTTTGGTTCAAAAAAATTTTCTAAAAATTTCCTTAAAATTTAGAAAAATTTTAGAATAGTTGTTTTCTAATTCTGTGAAAAAAGTCACAGAAATAGCATTGAATCTACAAATTGCTTTGGGCAGTATGGCCATTTTAACACTATTGAGTCTTCCTATCCATGAGGATGGTATGTTTTTCTATTTGCATCATCTCTGATTTCTATCAGCAGTGTTTTATAATTCTCATTGTAGATATCTTTCACTTCCCTGGTTAGCTGTATTCCTGTTATCTTGTTCTTTTAGTGGTTACTGTGAATGAGACTGAGTTCCTAATTTGGTTCTCAGCTTGGATGTTACTGGCGTAAAGAAATGTTACTGATTTCTGTACAGTGATATTGTATCCTGAAACTTTGCTGAAGTTGTTTATCAGATTTAGGAGGCTTTGGGCAAGAGACTATGGGGTAGAAAAACATTTTTTAAATTAGGATTGGTCCAGATCTTAAACTGTCACTGCAGGACACAGGTGGTCAATTAGTGATCCACAGTGGACTGAACCTAAACATGGGAACAACATGAAGCTGAAAACTTGAAATGAGTGGAAACTTTATGGATCAATAACCTCTGCATATTTCAGTCTGATGTGTGGAAGTGATACACTTAAAAAGGAAACACTTATATCTTGCAACAAAAAGTAAAGTTCCATTGGCTAATACAACATGATTGATGTTTTACTAGGGTATTTAATACCCTCACTGATTAATGAGTATTAGAATTTTGGCTGAGCTGCCTAACCAGATAGGGTTTAAGAATATACGATGGTATTAGGAGAAATGAAAAAAGAGACAGATGGAAAAAGAGCCAAGATTTTAAGAAACCACATACAATTACAAAACCTGTATTTATAGAAATTTCAAGGCATTCGAGGTACATAAGATATTATACTGCAACCTGAAATATATCACTTTGATACAATCAATTCTGCATAACTCCTGTATTTACAGAATGGAAAGCAATCAACTAATGGGCAGCAAGGTTGACATTTAGCATAATTCAAAGCTGTTGTTCACCATTGTGGTAAAGCATGACAGACAGGGGCAGAGAGTCAGCAAGTGGGGTTTGTGATTTACACACCTTGCAAGATTAGATTAAAGGCATTGTTATCAGCCTTCAGAGGGAACCCACCACCCACATTTCATTTTGGTAAGGATAGCAAGTCACAAAAGTGTGGCATTTGAGTACCCTCCTTGAAACAGTTTTTACAAAAGTTAAACATTTTTTTAAAAAAGAGTCAACCAATAATCAAAAATTTACCAAGCCCCTCTTATATGCCTAATATAGACTAAAAACACTATGAATGGAAAATAATTTTAAGTTATGGCCTTTGCCCACTGTGAGCTGACAGTCTTCTTGGATAAACAAGATGAACACATACTAAAGTATCTATAAGACAGTGCTAGATTCTTATGTACTTTAGGACATAAGAAAACAAAAACGGATGGACCGGCAAAGACTCAAACAACCATAGCCGACTGTTACTGAGCACTTCCCACGTGCAAGGCATTATGTTAAGAACTTGCTCACATGACCGCATTTCCTTCTTGCACAAACTCATGAGATGGGTAAGTATGATAAGTATCACCATTTTTCAAAGGAAAAATATGAACAGAAAGTCATTTGTCCAAAGATTCACAATTATTAGGTAGTAGGGGCAGGATTAGTTTCACATGTACTGAAATCCAGAACTTCAGTAAAAGGCCCCATGAATGTAAACTGGTGTTTAGTGGAATTACAATCTAAAAGAGATTGAAAAGGGGGGAAAGCAGCATAAAAGACGAGGTTACAAATAGCATAAGATGGCAAAGCATGTACTCAAAACTCTTCCGCTGGGTACAGTGGCTCACACCTGTAATTTCAGCACTTCGTGAGGTTGAGGTGGGAGGATTGCTTGAGTCCAGGAGTTTGAGAACACCCTGGGAAATATGGCAAGACCCTGATTGTAGGAAAAAAATTTTTTAGTTAGCTGGGTGTGCTGGCATGTGCCTGTGGTCCCAGCTACTTGAGAGGCTGAGGCAGGAGGACTGCTTGAGCCCAGAAGGTCAAGGCTATAGTAAGCCATGTTCAAAACACTACGCTCCAGCCTGGGGAGATCCTGTTTTAAAAACAAAACAAAATAAAACTCTTCATAATCATAATGCTCTTTAAAAAAAAAAAAAAAAAAGAATGCCAAGAGCATATAAAGTGTTATTCCACTCTCTGGTCTTCTGAAGGGTTTTATAGCAATTTCCAGACTCACTTTGAAATGTATCATACAGTGTCTTTTTTTTTTTTGAGACGGAGTTTCGCTCTTGTTGCCCAGGCTGGAGTGCAATGATGAGATCTCAGCTCACTGCAACCTCCTCCTCCCGGGTTCAAGTGATTCTCCTGCCTCAGCCTCTCAAGTAGCTGAGATTACAGGCATGCGCCACCATGCCCGGCTAATTTTTTGTACTTTTAGTAGAGACGAGGTTTTTCCATATTGCTGGTCAGGCTGGTCTCCAACTCCCAACCTCAGGTGATCCGCCTGCCTCAGCCTTGCAAAGTGCTGGGATTTACAGGTGTGAGCCACCATGCCTGGCTGAGTTTCATATTTTTAAGGCTCTGAAAAAGGGAAGTACATTAGATATGCAACACTCACAAACACCTTAACCTTATATAAGACAAACTGAGTTGAACTGGAAGCCAAAAGTAATGAATCCAGGCAATTACTAAAAAAAAGATTATCTAAAATCAAAATGCATGTACATCAATGTTGCCAACATGTCAAGGAAAGGGAAGGAAAGAATTTTTTGATGTTAAATGAAGAGTAACAATTTGAAAAGCTATGCATTGCTGCCTTAGTCAAGTAAAAAAAGAGCAGAGTGGAATGGTTTCCCCTCTCTTCATATTGCAGTACAGTCTTCGGGGCATCTTTGATGAATGGGCATGCCTATGGGAACCGCACTATATTCATTTAGTACCTCCATCTCAGGAAGAGAGGTTTCAGTGCACCTTGGTTCATCTACAGAAGCCTCATCATCAAACAACCTCCGACAGCAAACCAAAGTAAAAGGGGGTGGCACTTCTTTAAGAAAGGAGACTGCTTCTCGGCGAGATTTTCCATAGAGCTGCGTGCCATTGACCTAGGAAGACAAGGGGATAAGTCAGAACTGAGGTAGCCCCAAATGAAAAAACAAAAATCTCTTATTTATATCAATCTACCAAATGAAAATAGGACATCATTTTATTTTCCCTGTAAACAAGGGGACTCGCTTTAATCATATTATGATAAAATAATATGCAAATAAAAATGTTAGAAATCCTTAAAATTTTTAAAATCTAAGGCTAAATCTTTGCATGTCTTGATGGATAAAATATAAAATGCATGCAGAGTATGCCCTTACTGGGTAAGGATCTACCTAATTTTTTGCAGCACTGTGGTTTCTCCTTTCAATACTCCAATGTTGTATTTTCTCACCTACCTCTACTCAGCTCTCCTTAAACACACTAAGTATCATTTACAGCCCTTTAAGACTGTTTCCCTTTGCATTTTCATTTTATAAGAATACCATTACAGAAATTTAAGGATGTTAAAAAAAACCATTTTATTTACTACTTAAAGTATAGCTAATAAGTCTAGAATACTTGACTATCAAAATTTAACATCAGTCCACAATATTCTTTCACATCTCATACACTCCTAATACCATCCTAGAAAAATAACTTCTATTGAAAAGAAATATACATAACTTTGCATCAGTTACATTCTTATATGCTCTGCTATACAGCAATCAAGTATGCATAGAAAATACTAAAATAATTTTTAAAATAATTTTATTCAAGTGTCTCATATTGTTTAAAAGAAAAAGGTATTCTTTATTAATGATTAATCCTTGTCATCAAAAAATTACCTAAATTTCATATTACTTTTGGCGCATAATAATAATACTTGGCACCAAAGATGATTTGGCTACATAATTCTAATTTTTCATATATATGACTTGAGCTCAAAGGGTCCTGTCAGTTCTAACTGTAGTTCTCTAAAAGCTGATCTGTCTGCTACTCCCAAAAAGCTGAGGCATGGACAGAATCCAGACAACAAATAATCTTTTCGCATCTGACTCCTACCCTCCTGGGAGGGTTGACAAGCATTATTTGCTTTAAAGATATTTCTAGTCTGGCATTAATTTCTAATAGGTGCCGTGCTAATGTTCAGATAACTGGCCAGCCTGACTTTACTGGGAGAAGCCCTTCTACAAGTCTTTCACTGCACCAGAGAGGAAGCGGACACTGGGTTGCTGGAAATCTTCAGCAGCGGGCTGAGTCTCAGGTCAACCATCCCTGGGAACCACTCTCAAGCCTGTAACATATCAAGCACTTAGCCGTCAAGTCAGACATATCTCCCTGCCTCTTAATTATTTACAAAGAAACCACCACATGGTAAAGGGACCCACGTGCACTTTAGGAAGCTAGCTCTACTGGAAAGTCTTCAGGACAAATGAAGAGGTCTAAGGGGACAGCAAGCTCAGCAGCTGATGAAAGGTTTTTCCTTGGAATAACTGCAAGTCCACCTTTACACAAGAAGAGGCAGGGAGGTACCCATCACTGGTCACACCGTATCCATGATTTCAACTGGTGTCACAAGTGCACAAAGTTCTAAAATCAACTAAGTGGGTAGTAACTTATACTAAAAAAATGCAAGGAGATAGAATCAGATCAGGAATTCTATCCATACATGAGTATGAGTTTGTGTTTCACTTCAACAAATTAGAAAGTCACTTTTCAGGTTTTTATCTTGGAGTACCTTTAAATATTTATTTGTCTCATTACTTATTCATTTGAATTGTCTTCAATTATTATACCAGTGCCTGGTAGTCCTCCTCACTGCTCTGTTGCTAAAGGGATTGGTCACATTTCCCATTACCAACTCCTATCTAAGGGGATTTATAGCTGCTGTAAATAGCTGTTCTGGGATGAAACTTGGCACAGTGTTCTAACCCCAAAGCATATTTGTGTTTCTGGTTTTAAGTTCTAAGAAGTACATTAAACACACACACACACACACACACACACACACACACACACACACACACACTCCACACTTTGAGTTCAGGAGTTTATTTGGCTAACTATACTGAGATTTTTAAATTTTGTATTTTTGGTTATTCAGAAGAAGCTAATTTTTATTTTAGAATTCACAGTATTTCTCAAGGTCCATCAACTTGAGAGCCTCCTAGGTGCTATCAAATCTCGATTATCCCAAGTTTTTGACTGGAAAATACACACACACATACACACTTCCAGAGTACAGAACATTGCACAAGCGCAGCCCCACTATTTTACCACATCCAACCATCATCCCAGCCCATAAAGCTTGTTAATATGCCTTTTTCACAGTGATGATATTGCCAATACCCTGCAATGAGATAATGCTTTATAATTTACATGGATGGTATTTCATTAGATCCTTATAAGCTCATAGTGAAGTGGGCATTTATTGATGAAGGAACTGATCCTCAACAAAGTCAAGTGACATGCCAAGGGACACATGCTAACCTGTGGCAATTCAGACAGAAAGTAGCTTTTCTGACTCCAAATCTGTGCTTCTTTCCTTATCTCAAGCTCTTTCACCAGGTATCTATATTTAAGAACTCAAAAAATCTTCACACTACCTTATTATAGCACATTCTTCTACAAGGTGGTAGGCCCATGGGATCCTAGTCTTGGCTAAAGCATACAGAATCCAGCTGATGGCTGGGATCACCTATACTTGCTCTACTGTGATCCAGCCAACATTTCTTTAGCACCTACTACATACTAGTAGTGATTTATACTTAATACCACCAAATTTCACACTTAAAAATGGTTAAAATAGGCAAGGCGTAGTGGCTCATGACTGTAATTCCAGTACTTTGGGAGGCCGAGGTAGAAGAATTGCTTGAGCCCAGGAGTTCAAGACCAGCATGAGCAAAATAGCCAGACACTGTTTCTACAAAATAACTAAAAAAATTAGTTGGGCATGGTGGCGCACAGCTATGGTCCTAGCTACTTGGGAGGTTGAGGTGGGAAGATTGCTTGAGCCCAGGAGTTTGATGCTGAAGTAAGCTATGACCACACCACCGCACTCCAGCCCGGGCAACAGAGTGAGACTCTGACTCTAAAAAAAAAAAAAAGAAAAAGGGTTAAAATGGTAAATTTCATGTTACATATATTTTGCCACCAAAAAAAAAAAAAAAGTGGACCAGGTGCAGTGGCTCACACACATAATCTTAGCACTTCAGGAGACTGAGGTGGGTGGATTGTTTGAGTCCAGGGGTTCAAGACCAGCTTGGGCAACATAGCAAGACACCGTCTCAAAAAAAAAAAAAAAAAAGTGAATTAAATTGGTTATACTCATACCTCCACTTCTCCCAAACAAATGTGTCTCATTTTCAACACCTAATAACTACATACTACAGCAATAGTCTCTAATCTACAAATTATCATGTATGATATCCACAAATATATGACCGTGCCCAGCCAATAAGAAGAGGAAGACCAAAAAGAAAGCATAATTATTCTAACAAAATGTAGGGCATTAATCTGCAGTAAGAAGCCCAATACCATTCCCTTGAATACCTCTAAAAATAAGCAACTTACTACATCTTAAAACAGGACTCCAATACCCTACCCTCCCATGTTTATGACATTGGCATTGGTGACACTATAACTCAGGTGATTTGTGATGAGAACACATTTTTCTAAAACTTAAAAATTCCTGCCTGTGTCTCGTTCTCCGTAAATTTTACCTCAAGCAGCTCATCTTCTGGCTGTAGGAGACCCAATGTGTCAACAGGACCACCAGAAACAATTGAAGAAATATAATGGTGCCCATCAAAGGAATCCACTTCCACACCAAGCCTCAGAGTGTGAATAGGCAGCAGCTGTAGCAAAACACAAAGCAATGATCAAACATGACAACGACACATCCAGCTATTCATCCTCCATCCACTGCAATTTTGAAGTGAAAAACCCCACCTCTTGAATCAGATCACCAAAATTCTAAAAGAGGAAAATAATGGGAAAATTAGCTTCAGGTAAAATATGAAGTCATTGGTCATCTTGTTCTCACTCCTCTTTTCCTTCCAGATTCCCTGGAAATGAAGAGACGGATGTATATAGTCTTACTTTCCATTCTAAGCTCCAGGCAGTCCACACTTCCGGTAGTCCTCATTATGTATGCTGTGTTTCACTTTTCTATGGGACTCCCCATCCCCCAGAACATCCTAACTTTCCTTTATTATCTAATTAACTTCTACTCACACTTAAATGCCATGGCAGGAAGCCCTGAGTTCTTGAACCTCCATCTGGGGTTCAAGATCACTCTGTGCACATCTCCATCACAGCTCACAACATACTAGGCTTAGAATTTGTTTTTTGTTTGTTTTTTTTTGTTTTGTTTTGTTTTGTTTTTGAGACAGAGTCTCACTCTGTTGCCTAGGCTAGAGTGCAGAAGTACAGTGGTGCAATCTCAGCTCACTGCAACCTCTGCCTCCTGGGTTCAAGCACTTCTCATGCCTCAGCTTCCCAAGTAGCTGGGACTAGAGGCGTGCACCACCACGCTCAGCTAATTTTTTTGTGTTTTCAGTAGAGATGAGGTTTCACCACATTGAGAATTCCTAGTTTCTTGATTGTCCCTCCTCCACTCCTTACCCAAATGCAGAGTCTGTACCTTTAATCGCCATAACCTCAGCCCTGGAACAGTACCTGGCACTGAATATGGGCTTGTTAAATGTTATTTGAACCAATCCATGAAGAATAATGCCTCAATTAAGATGTCCTTTTCCATCTAGCCAACTTAAGTGAAAACATTTCCGATTTGGGAAAGGCAATCGTTTATCCATTCTAAGTCTATGCGGATTCATATGGGCTAAGACACGAGTCAAGCGCTAAGAAACTCTAGCCAATGTCGAGTAAAGAGATGAGTGTCTTAGTTGCACTCATCTTTGTTGGTCGTCACGATCAAGGGCATTCACCAAACTCCATTCCCCTGACTTTCAAAGACAGACTAATGATTTCTCGTTGTGGCCTTATAATCTGAAATATGGTAAATGGTACTCATGATGATTGACATTTCCTGTATCAACAGTCTGATACCTAAAAATACCAGACCTATCTCGAACTATACTTTATAAGGAGAAAACCCTACACAGGGTGGCAGTGCATCCACCATGTGGCTCTCTTCCTCTTCTCTGTGATCCTCTATCCCTGAGCTTGCCACCTCCCTCAGTCTTCTGCTTTCAGTCCCCAGAGTGCCACAGGCCTTCCTTCAGACAACATCTGAGGCTCACTTCTGTCTCACTATAGACATGCAGACAAATGTGAAGTGGCAAGGAGACTGGCGGACTAAGACCTTAACACGGGCATAAGAGACTGCTAGCCCTGGGATAATTTCCTGAAAATTAAGTGCTCCTAACCACTAAGCACTTCAGGATCTACAACCATCTTTGGCAAGATGTTCTAGTTCTCTAAATGAAAGGTTAAGACAGTTTTTCCGGCCGGGTGCGGTGACTCATGCCTGTAATCCCAGCACTTTGGGAGGCCGAGGCAGGCGGATCACGAGATCAGAAGATTGAGACCAACCTGGCTAACACGGTGAAACCCTGTCTCTACTAAAAATACAAAAAAATTAGCCGGGCGTGGTGGCAGGCGCCTGTAGTCCCAGCTACTCAGGAGGCTGAGGCAGGAGAATGGCTTGAACCCGGGAGGCAGAGCTTGCAGTGAGCCGAGATCGCGTCACTGTACTCCAGCCTGGGTGACAGAGTGAGACTCCGTCTCAAAAAAAAAAAAAAAAAGCATCAAAAAGCATGACATGCAGTGTGTGTGAAGGCAACAATCATCTGTTTCACCCACTCTGTCATTTCAGCACTTTCTGTGCTTCCTCTCTGTGCTTTCTTTCTTCTCACTGCTGCCACTTCATTCTCTTGTCATTGTACCAAATAATGGGTATGGATACACTAAGGAGATATTAGTGTCATGTGGCAGGACATGAAAGAAGGTAAGGAAAAGCTCTCAGAAAAATGTTTCTGTATTAACAGTTTACCTCCCGTCTCTGCCAGCCATCTTCCTTCCTTATTTATGAGCCAGATGCTACAGGGCAGCGAGTTGCCAGTGGATCCACCATAGCTCATCCCCAATGCGGTGCTGGGGCTTATACTGGCTTGAGAGTAGACTGTTAAATTTTCAGTGATTTTGCAAGCTAGTTGTTAAACACAGCTATTATTTAAAATTAAACCACATAAAGTTACAATTAATAAAAATAAATGTAGGCAAGGCGTGGTAGCTCACACCTTTAATCCTAACACTTTGGGAGGCCAAGGCGGGCAGATCACCTGAGGTCGGGATTTCGAGACCAGCCTGACCAACATGGAGAAACCCCATCTCTACTAAAACAAAAATTAGCTGAGTGGGTGTAATCTCAGCTATTCGGGAGGCTGAGGCAGGAGAATCACTTGAGGCCGGGGGGCAGAGGTTGCAGTGAGCTGAGACTGAGCCATTACACTCTAGCCTGCACAACAAGACTGAAACTCCATCTCTAATAAATAAATAGGCCAGGCGCGGTGGGTCATGCCTGTAATCCCAGCACTTTGGGAGGCCGATGCGAGTTGATTGCCTGAGGTCAGGAGTTCAAGACCAGCCTAGCCCAACATGGTGAAACCCTGTCTCTACTAAAAATACAAAAATTGCCTGAGCATGGTGGGGCACGCCTGTAATCCCAGCTACTTGGGAGGCTGAGGCAGGAGAATCCCTCGAGCCTGGGGGGCGGAGATTGCAGTGAGCCAATATCGCGCCACTGCACTCCAGCCTGAGCAACAGAGAGAGACTCCATTTCAAAAAATAAATTAATTAATTAAATAAGTAACATAAAAAAATAAATGTAACAAGTACTCAAAATCCATCACTTCCTAATTATTTTTCACTCTTTTACTAATATCTATGTTCATGAAGTGATTTATATCTACTATATCTGTACAGAGAGGAACACTCTCTATCAGAACTCAAAGAATACTGAGGGGTGGACAACTGAAAGAGACACATGAAATGCCTGATTTGGTTAGCTGCTAAATGCAGGTGGGACAAGTAATTAAACAGCCCTGCTCCTGCAGAGATGCCTGCAGCAAAGAAGCGCTACTGTGCATTGCCTCTCGACTCACTGATCAGTAACACCATTTTGGTAGCTTCATATCTGCCATGGTGGGAGTATTTACACCACAGATACTGGTACATGCTACAAATTGGAGCTGCCTTTCCACCGCCCCCCATCCCCACCTAGAAACTTACCAGCATACCACTGATCTATGATATAGTTTGGACATGATATCCAGCATATATGTACAGGGTATAAACTATGTGCAAGGCATTGGGTTATGAGCTGGAAATATAGGATGAAGTCTTTACCCTCCTAGAACTAACATCTAGCATGGCAGACAGATAATAAATAGGTAAAAAGGTAAGTAGACAAAGCAAATACATAAATAAACAACCAATCAACAAGCAGCAGGATTATCACAGTTCTGGTAAGACAAGCAAAGAATATAAGGAAATGCATCCAAGGAATGTGTGACCACTGTGTGGAAAACAAGCAGTTACTAATTGTGTTAAGTGCTACAAGGAAGGAATCGGGGTTATGACATCAGAGCCCCACTAGTGGAGGCCATTTTGGAAAGTTGGTCAAAGCAGGCTCCACATTGAAGGGGACACTTAAGGTGAGACTTGAGGGATAACGGTGAGTCAGCCCTACAAAAAAGCCTACTGGGGGATGGCTGTGGGAGGTGAGCAAAAAGGATAATTGCTAAATTTCTGGTTTGAGCAAATGAGTAAATGGTGGTAACAACTTCTGCATAGAAATAAGTGCCCAAATTAAAACAAAGATCCCACTGTACACACAGAGATCTTTGCTACTTACATAATAATATGCCCCCATACAAGATAAAAGGGTTAAGGCAAGAACTGGTTCCAATCCTCTCCCAGTCCGCATCTATTCATATGATGACCCCCATTCCCACCTCCATGAAACGGTTGGAGTCAGGATTCGCAGAGGCTCACCCATGTCATCCTGTGCCCTCCAGACACGGGCTGTGCCTTCTAGGCTATTCCCCCAGGTATCTGTAAACACCACATGCTCCCTAGAAAACTTAAATGGTGAACGAAACATGCTCTATCTTCAATTAGGCTGAACAAATAAACCAGAAATGATGTTTACGAAATCTGTCAATCGGAAGGATGCCTATCTAATATTAGTTCTGAATCTAAATCTGAGTACAGCTGGGTTTCTAAGATTTCATGTTACATTGCTGCAGGCTTCTCTGCGGGAGCAGGACTGTTTAATTACCTGTCCCAGCTGCATTTAGCAACTAAACAAATCAAGCATTTCATCTGTCTCTTTTAGTTGTCCACCTCTTTCAGTATGCGGAGTTCTTAGCAGAAAGTGCTGAAATGACAGAGTAGGTGAAACAGATGATTGGTGCCTTCACACACACACTGCATGTCATGCTTTTTGATGCTTACTCAATGTGCTTTGTGAGGCGTTCTATTTAAACTGACAAAGTTAAGGAGCAACAGGATTTTCATGATCCTGATATAAGTAAAGGATACAAGGAAATGCATTCAAGGGAAGTGTGGCCATTGTGTGCTTTACTGTCAGTGCAAAAATGAAGATCAAATGAGATTAAGAAGGCTTGAGGCCTTCTACCCACAAGTAGCGAGACCTATCATGAGACAAACTACAGCCATTCATTTTGCTTGAAGCTTTACTTTTAGGATATTAAAACAGGATATCAAAATACTTAAGTGGGAATATAAATGATATTGCTTCAGGGGGAAAAGAAACTTCTGGAAAGGAATGCTTCAAAAAGGTGTCAGTGGGATGGGGAAGGATTTTCCAAAAATGTTAAACTCGACAGAAAATAAAACAGAAAGAATCCATGATTGGTTCTTGTAACTCCCATACACAAAGCATTAAATAGCCATTTATGTTTAAAGATTAGGTCATTACTAAATTTACCATAAATAAAAAACAAACTTTTCAAGAATGACGCTATAAGTTTTAAAGTAATGGAAAATCACAAGCATGATGGCCTCCCTCAGAGGTTATACAAGACAATCGATCCATTAGAGCTTCATTTATGTTTGTTTTTCTCACCCCTCCAAAATTTTATTTTATTTTATTTTATTTTATTTTATTTTTTTGAGATAGAGTCTCGCTCTTGTTGCCTAGGCTGGAGTGCAATGGTGTGATCTCGGCTCACTGCAACCTCTGCCTCTTGAGTTCAAGTGATTCTGCCTTAACCTCCCCAGCAGCTGGGATTACAGGTACGCACCACCATGCCCGGCTAATTTTTGTATTTTCAGTAGAGATGTGGTTTCATCATGCTGGTCAGGCTGGTCTCGAACCCCTGACATCAGGTGATCCACCCACCTCAGCCTCCCAAAGTGCTGGGATTACAGGCGTGAGCCACCGCTCCTGGTCCCCTCCAAAATTTTAATTCAGAATGTTCAAAAAATGTGTAACAGGTACCCTGTTGTACAGTAGTAAATTCAAAGTTCTCTTCAGTCACCTAATACCAAGGTCAAACATCAGTTGCTATTTAGCATTTTAGATATAATTTGTTTCCTGCCTGGCCCATGTGATACATCTGAATTTTTGATACTTGAACTAACACTTTGCACTTGGCTTTCTCCCCCTACCTATGTTCACGGTAGTACCTTCACCTGAAATACCCATTGTACTCATTTGTACTCCAAATCTATTCTTCAGAGTATAGCTCAAATGCCATCCTACCGATAAGCCTCCATCTGTCTTGAGGAAGTAATATCCTTCTAGAACACACATGAGGCATTTTAGCAATATCTGAATAATAATTCTCTATAAAGTGAGGCAAGAAAGGAATCAAAATTCCCTTTAAGAACCTCACCCCAAACCTACAGAATCAGAGTATCAGCAAGGAGGAACTTAAAATAGGGCACACGTATTTTGAAAAAGCTCCTCTGATGTTTCTGATATGCCACCTGCACCACTAGGTAACCGCTGCTACTATAGTTATTTGATTCTGTGTCTTACGTTCTCCACTTAAAAAGAGAGCAGCAAAGTATAAAATTACATCCTGGAGAACTGATAACAGCATTGCTTCTGTGGATGAGAGGACTGGGGTGGGAGAAAAAATTACCTTTTGCAGTACATATTTCTATACCTTTTAAATTGTATGTCTTGCCCATATATTATCTATTTAAAATTTAAAAGAGGAAAAAAGAATGATGCAAGCTTAGAAGCCAGATAACCCTTGATTTGTTTCCTTTTTTGAAACTTTTTAAATAAATTTATTTTTTAATAGTTCTGGAATGCTTCATGAATTTGTGCGTCATCGTTGCGCAGGGGCCATGCTAATCTTCTCTGTATCATTCCAATTTTAGTATTTGTGCTGCCTAAGCGAGCACTCGATTTGTTTCCTAATTCCACCCCCCTTACTAGCTGCATATGATCTTGGGCAAGTGACTTTACCTGCCTGACAGTCAAGTTTCCCATATTAAAAATGGGAAGGGGAAAATGCTTGCTGACCAATAAGTTTACTATTAGAAATACAGGAGAAAATATATTTAAAGCAAAGAACCGGCCCTGGTAACTGAACAGTAACATACACTATAACTCTTGGAAAGCCCAGTACATCCCACTTGCCTTAAAAACTCTATTTGTTCATTATAAAATGGTTAGGGAGAAACCATACTTTAATGTTCTCTGGGTCAGGACATATAACTCAAGAGAGAAATAAAGTGAAATTTGTCCATCTGTTTTGTCAAAACCAGACAGCAGGACCTAGTGTTTTTGTTTCCCACACAAGCAATATTACTGATGCTCACTTCATATTACAATTGATGGCCAGCAGAAAGGTCACTAGAATGAGCTTAATGCTTCTCCCTCATAGAGCTGTGATTATCTTAATAGTAAGCACTTGCCAAGAAAGCCGTCCCTAAAAGTGCAAGTCTCCCTAGATGCGGGAAAACTGTTCTTGTGTCATGATTAACAGCTTCCTAGAAGCAGTGCAGCTAATGCTTAAGTCACTGTAAATAGCTTTCACCTCCCTCTTTCTCCACAACTCCACCCACCTCAGAAGAAAATTTTATCTGTTAACATTAGCCCATAATACATGAAGATGCTTCTTTTTTAAAAAAATAGAGACAGGGTCTCCTCTCCCTCTGTTGACCAGGTTGGTCTCAAACTCCTGGCCTCGAGATCCTCCTGCCTCAGCCTCCCAAAGTGCTGGGATATGCATAAACTACCCCGCTCAGTCATATAGATGCTTCTGGAATCATCCCTTCAAGATTGGTGGCCATGGCATGGCAACCATCTAAAAGCAGCTAGACCCATAGAAACATAATTTTTCTAATCAGAAAGCTGATGAGACAGGGGAAAACCTCCAGCCTGGACCTCAGATCATAGAAAAAACCCTGCTCAAAACTTCCCACTGGTGTTACCTGTCACCGAAGACAAAGTCCATACATATCACCGTGGCTCCCAAGGGGCCCTTTAACACCTAGTCTTCCTCTCCAGCATCATTTAACAATATTCTGCTCTTCACTGAGTTTGACCCAGACACTGAAAGAAACAACTTCTATTCCCCCAACACGCGAGCCCTTTCCGACAGCAGAGCCACTGGACCTGCTGCTCCTCTTTTCCACATTCTTATCCTTCAAGCCTGAGCTCAGAAAAGCTTTTCCTGGCTCGCTCTAAAGTGTCCCCTACCCCAGTTATGCTCAATTTACTGTTTATTCATTTGCAGCTCTTCTTACAATCTACAACTATCTTATTAAGTTATTTTTTACTTGTCTATTACCATGCCCCTATACAATTGCAAAATCTAAGCTCTATGAGAGCAAGGACCTTTTCCATTTTGCTTCCCACAGATGGTAGCAGAGTGTCTGGCATAGAGTAGGAGCTCAGTAAATAGTTCAGGAATGGATGAATGCACACCAAGCTACAACCTGCCTCCACTACGATCTAGTGGTATAATTTCGGTCAAGTCATTCAACCTAGGCAACCTTTACTATCCTCTCGTCTGTAAAATCGGTTTTGACTGGTTAGTTAAAATCTCCCTTACATATTGTAGAGGGAAATTAGTAGCTACTGAATTAAGATGCAAATCTCCAATTATAAGAAGATTCTTAAAAATCATAGCTCATCAAAATGAAGAAAAATTCTGTGGACATTTAATAACTAAAATTAATGTAGAAAAATGTAAAAATATATGATGTTACATGGAAAAACTACACACCCCTTCTATCTCACATACACACGTGCACATGTGTATGCGCGCGCGCGCACACACACACACACACTAAACAAAAGGCAGGTAATACTGACTGCAAATATATAAATATGTAGCTAACAACTAAATATGTAAAGAGAACAATGCGGCTGGGCACAGCGGCTCATGCCTGTAATCCCAGCATTTTGGGAGGCCAAGGTGGGTGGATCACTTGAGGTCAGGAGTTCAAGACCAGCCTGGCCAACACGGTGAAATCCCATCTCTACAAAAATACAAAAATTAGCTGAGTGTGATAGCAGGTTCCTGTAATCCCAGCTACTTGGGAGGCTGAGGCTGAAACACTGCTTGAACCCGGGAGGCAGAGGTTGCAGTAAGCCGAGATGGTGCCATTGCACTCCAACCTGGCAACAGAGCAAGATTGCATCTCAAAAAAAAAAAGGAACAGAATAATGTAATTTTGGGTGACTTTTTTTCTTCCAGTGAAGAAAATAGGGAAACAAGAAAAGCAACTTTTTGTCACAACAAAATTTCAATTAATTAAATGTTTTTAAAAGCATATTAAAAGAAAAAAGCCTTCGAATGTTCAGTCTAAAAGTGCTAGAGGCATATAACTGGGAAACAAAACTACTGTTTATTGGATATTTCTTATATCTTGGCACTAAGTTATATTAAGGTATATATGAAATATTATTTCTATTTAGTCTTCTACAACACAATTATTATTGTTCATATTATTTAGAGAAAAAATGAGGCCAGTTATTTACCTCCAAAAGCATTTCATCAAATGTTACTTTCTTAAGCCTTCCCTGACCAACCTATCCAAATTTGCAGACAAACCCCCACTCCTGAATCTCCTATGTTCCCTGCCTTAATACTCTCCGTGGTACATATCACTTATATGGTACAACTTACTTATTTTTGGCCTCCTCCCATTAAAATATCAGTCCTATAGGACAGGAATTTTTCTTCCTGCTTTGTTCTCTTCTGGAACCCTAGCACCCAGTAGCAGACCTAGCACAGAGTACATATAATATATATTTGATGAATGAATGAACAGCCAAATGTACTAGTGAGTTTTTATAAGGTGGTTCTGAAAGTATGTTCAACTCAAAGCCCTTCTGCCCATTTATATCAGAGTTACCGAGTACAAATATATATTTTTGTGTGTGTGTGTGTGTGTGTGTATATGTACATTCCATAGAGGTTGATCAGGAAAGATGACACAGTAAGAGTGGAGGCAGAGAACTAAGGGGTGAGAGTGAGAAAGAACATCTTCTGCCTAGAGAAAGAGAATCACACTGTTTAAAAATGTACACAAAGTGTGCTTTGTGCCTTTTTTCCTTGCTGTCTTTTACTTATTATAAAACATTATAAAACATGATGATTCAGGGTCTTAGGCTTTAATGTGGGAGAACGGACAAGTAAAGCTGAACCACGTGAACCACGTAAACGGAGCCTGATCAGGGCAGGACTTCCCTACAAGGACATATCCTGAGTTCTAAAACAATATGGCACAGGAGGCTGAAAAGCTAATCAGGAAAACTTGGAAAAGTAAAGCAAGTATTTCAGCAGCCCACACTACTAAGGAGAGAAGATTAGAGTTCAGTTTCCACCAGGATAACAGGACTGGTAAACACCCCAGGGTCTTTCGTGGATTACGCGGGAGGCTGTGTCTTTTTTTTTTTAAAGACAGAATCTCGCTTCATTGCCCAGGATGGAGTGCAGTGGCACAATCTCGGCTCGCTGCGGCCTCCACCTCCCAGGTTCAAGTGATTCTCCTGCCTCAGCCTCCCAAGTAGCTGGGATTACAGGCACCCACCACCATGCCTGGCTAATTTTTGTATTTGTAGGAGAGACGAGGTTTTACCATGTTGCCCAGGCTGGTCTTGTACTCCTGACCTCAGGTGATCTTCCTGCCTCGGCCTCCCAAAATGCCAGGATTACAGGTGTGAGCCACTGTGCCTGGCCAAGGCTGAGTCTTAAAAGTGAAGCAAATCAGAGGTAGTCTGAATCTTACCAGAACTGTACCTCTTCCCCATCTCTAAGATGAGCACCCACCAGTATCACCACACACACTCTCTCTCACTCTCTCTCTCTCTCTCTGTCTCTCTCTTCCCTCCCCTCCCTCTGTCAACACATTAGCAGGCTAATGATATCATCTGAAGCCTTTTATAGTTGCCAGACATTTAATCAAATTTTGGCATGACAAGAGATATACCCAAACAAAAAGACAAAACATCAAACGACAGAAACAGATCCAAAGTTAATCCAGATATTGGAATTACTTAAAGTCTTTATAAGCTATGGTTAACATGCTGAAGAATTAGAGGAAAAGATGGCAAATACAGGAACAGATAAAAAATACAGATTTTTGTTTGTTTGTTTGTTTGAGACAGAGTCTCGCTCTGTCGCCCAGTCTGGAGTGCAGCGGTGCAATCTCGGCTCACTGCAAGCTCCACCTCCCAGGTTCACACCATTCTCCTGCCTCAGCCTCCCGAGTAGCTGGGACTACAGGTGCCCGCCACCACGCCCGAATAATTTTTTGTATTTTTAGTACAGACAGGGTTTCACTGTGTTAGCCAGGATGGTCTTGATCTCCCGACCTCATGATCCACCCGCCTCGGCCTCCCAAAGTGCTGGGATTACAGGTGTCAGCCACTGTGCCCACCCTAGATTTTTTTTTTATGTCGGGAATTTAGCCGGAGGATTATAATCTAAAAAGAAATAAAATGAAAATTCCATACTAGATAAATAAATAAAATTAAGCACTTAATAGATGGGCTTCAGCAGCCAATTAGGCACAGGAAATTTAGTTAACTGGAAGACAGTTAAACAGAAAATAAGAGTTTAGTGTAAATTAACGAGCAATTTCACGCAACACTGATTTATATGATAATAAGAAAAATAATAATAAGAGCCCGGCCGGGCACAGTGGTTCACACCTGTAATCCCAGCACTTTAGGAGGCCAAGGCTTCACCTGAGGGCACAAGTTCGAGACCAGCTTGGCCAACATCATGAAACTCCATCTCTACTAAAAATAGAAAAAATTAGCCAGGCATGGTGGTGGGTGCCTCTAATCCCAGCTACTTGGGAGGCCGAGGCAGGATAATCGCTTGAACCTGGGAGGCAGAGGTTGCAGTGAGCCAAGATGATAAACTACAAGATGAGCCATATTGCTTTTTGTATTTTCCTCAGATTTACAGTCACAACGATGAAATGACTCAAAATGCAGGTAAACTGGGAAGGGAAGAAAGATCGCACCATTGCACTCCAGCCTAGGCAACAAGAACGAAACTCCGTCTCAAAAAACAAGAGCCTACTATGTGCTTGCAACTATTCTAGGCATATTATAGTTAATACCTATATAAATTTATAAGGCAGGTACAATATTAAGCATAACATAGCTAATTTCTGTATAAATCTATGAGGCAGGTATTAATATTTCCTTTTTACATATAAAAAAACTGAGACATGGACTTTAGATCATTTTCTAAGATCACACAGCTATGAAATTCTGCATAAGTCAGAATTTAAACTGAGGCAGTTTGGTTCTAGAATCCATGTAATCAGTACATTATAATGCAGAAATTAATAACAAATGAAGCTTGATGAGGTGTTTGCCTTTGAGACGGAGTTTCCCTCTTGTTGCCCAGGCTGGAGTGCAATGGTGCAATCTTGGCTCACTGCAACATCTGCCTCCCGGGTTCAAGCGATACTCCTGCCTCAGCCTCCCGACTAGCTAGGATTACAGGCACCCATTAGCACGCCCAGCTAATTTTTTTGCATTTTTATTGAGACAGGGTTTCACTATGTTGTTTTTGTTTTTGTTTTTGTTTGAGACAGAGTCTCGCTCTGTTGCCCAGGCTGAAGTGCAGTGGTACCATTTTGACTCACCACAACCTCCGCCTCTTGGGTTCAGCGATTCTCCTGCCTCAGCCTACCAAGTAGCTAGGACTACAGGTGCATGCCACCATGTCTGGCTAATTTTGGTATTTTTAGTAGAGACAGGGTTTCACTATGTTGGCCAGGCTGGTCTCAAACTCCGGACCTCGTGATCAGCCTCCCAAAGTGCTGGGATTATAGGCGTGAGCCACTGCACCTGTCTTTGTATTTGTATTTCTTACTCTCATTTTGAATTAAATCCCTCTCAATATATTGAGAGGGAATTAATATTTAGTCACTACTCTAATCTAATCTGACTTTGTAAATAGTTTAAAATTAAACTATAAGATGAGCCATATGCTTTTTGTATTTTCCTCAGATTTTGTACATCTGAGGAAAGCTTGGTCAGTTGGCCAACACAGTCACAACGATGAAGTGACTCAAGATGCAGGTAAACTGGGAAGAGAAGAAAGACTCTCCAGTGCCAGCCTTGAAAATTCAAACCTGGCCAGGCGCAGTGGCTCATGCCTGTAATCCAGGCACTCTGGGAGGCCGAGGCAGGTGGATTACCTGAGGTCAGGAGTTCGAGACCAGCCTGACTAACATGGTGAAACCCCATCTCTACTTAAAAAAGAAAAAAATTAGCCGGGGATGGTGGCACATGTATGTAGTCCCAGCTACTCGAGAGGCAGAGGCAGGAGAATCGCTTGAACCTGGGAGGCGGAGGTTGCAATGAGCTGAGATCACGCCACTGCACTCCAGCCTGGGTGACAGAGCAAGACTCCGTTGTGAAAAAAAAGAAAGAAAAGAAAATTCAAACCTATAAAATTATGGCACACATAGCATAAAATCATGGAAGATAAATATTGATTACAAATACTCAACCAAGAAGAAAATGGCAGCACTACCTAAAGACTTTTCAACTTCTTATGAAACCTGCATGGGATGCAGAAAATACATTTTTAGCTGGGCGCTGTGGCTCACACCTGTAGTCCCAGCACTTTGGGAGGCCAAGGCGGGCGGATCACCTGAGGTCAGGAGTTGGAGACCAGCCTGACCAACAGGGAGAAACCCCATCTCTACTAAAAATACAAAATTAGCCGGGCGTGGTGGTGCACGCCTGTAATCCTAGCTACTAGGGAAGCTGAGGCAGGAGAATCGCTTGAACCCGGGAGGCACAGGTTGCGGTGAGCCAAGATCGCGCCATTGTATTCCAGCCTGGGCAACAAGGGTGAAACTTTGTCTCAAAAAAAAAAAAAAGAAAATACATTCTTAAAACTGCATGTGACAGAAGAGTTTAAGGTGGGCTCAGCACTTATATCCCGTGCAGAATTACAGTATGACTTCTGAAACTACTCAGACAAGAACATCTTTCCTTTCTTATCGATTGTTGAGGAAGCCGCCTACAAGACTTCTCTAAGTTTCAATTGCCCTGGCCTCTGCTTATCCAGAATGGGAATTTTTAGTGACAGGACACAAAAAATGCTGGGAAAAAAAACTGTAGAAGTTGTCTTCTGGCACCTTGCCAATAGAAATAAAGCTTACCAAAAAGTTTTAAATTCAAGAACAACCACTGCCTACACTCAGAAGATAAACCACTTTTCTTTCCTTGAACAGCTGAACCTGAAGCCTTTTTTAAAGCCTGTATTCCTGGGTCTTGATTTTTAAGAAACATATATTAAAGGGCTTCTTATAATATCTAAAAAGCTAACACACACTGCACAATGTTACTCTGCATACTACATCTAATGTGGGCAAAAGAGTCAAACCTAGGTTTTGGCTTCTGGACATTGACACAGGGATCCCATGTTCTTCCCAGGCATCATCTTTCATAACAATGAGACCCATCACATTTCCAGGAAACATGCAAGACTAAGTTCTGGAAGCTTTAGGTCACAGCACTAATTTAGTTTCTTCAGCAGGAATTTAAAGAAAGTTCTTCAAACTATGAAAAATGGACAGAGTTCAGTGGCTCCACCTGTAATCCCAACACTTTGGGAGGCAAATACGGGAGGATCACTTGAGCCTATGAGTTTGAGACCAACCTGGACAACATAGTGAGACCCTATCTCTTAAAAAAAAAAAAACTGTTTACTTTGTTATAAAAAATGCTTACCTTTGAATATTTCTGTAACTCAGCATCATCTGCAATCTGTGTGTCCAAAGTAGCAACCTAAATTTACAAAAAAAAAATTTCCAGTATTTGTAAAAACATAACTGTATTTCTTCCTACATTTTCTGAAAATATCTGTAAAACCTATATATTGATAACTCTATTTGACTTACATTCTAATACCTTTCTTATATTTTTGAAATCTACAACACATAATGTGAAATTTCAGAGTATATTTGACTTTTTTGTTGTTGTTCTCCACAACAATCTTTTTTCCTAAATTGCATAAATTGAACAGAAGGTGATGGGCAAATATATATACTATTTTTTTTAAATACCTAAATGATATGCCAAATATGTTTTCATTTGGTTATAAAGAGGTTTATAGATTACTTGTATATCATCTCATATGGTTATGTCCTGCCTGGGTTTTTCTTTAAATTATTATTATTATTATATTTTAAGTTCTAGGGTACATGTGCACAACGTGCAGGTTTGTTACATATGTATACTTGTGCCATGTTGGTGTGCTGCACCCATCAACTCGTCAGCACCCATCAACTCGTCATTTACATCAGGTATAACTCCCAATGCCATCCCTCCCCCCTCCCCCCATACTATTTTTAAAAATCCATGATCCCTAAAATTTTAATATAATCCTCCATTATGCTAAATGCATAAAAATTTTACTCTTTTGACAAAATCAAGAATATGGCCATTTTTACTTTCAAATTCAAGCCTCAAAACAAAATTTGCAAGGTCAGTAAAGTCAGATGTGTTTGGAAAAACTAAAGCATCTGACTTTCCACAACAAGCTCAAACCATTTCCCCGGGAGAAATAGCTGGCAAAGACACAAACAGAAAGACCTGGTCCCTGGTGGAAAGCTCATGGAATACTTAAAGCTTTTAATCCTGGCCTAAAACTATTCTAAGCTTCAATCGTGGACATCCACAGAAATGAATTCCTTGCAAGCAAAAGTATGTTACTGATGATTTGCATCTGTAACTTGTTAATAAAATATGATGCATCTGGCAGGAAGGGATAAGTTAAACAATGACCCAACTACAGCTTCTGAAAGTACCGCATTTCAGATAAGCAGATTCTGGAAGAAAATGAAATAAGAAATATTGGAGTACATGCATTCATTCACTCTCCATCATGCCTGGCTTCTTTCTGCCAACTATTCCTTGGTACAAGATGCTACAACTTTTAATGGATAGCTGTCACTTTAAATTTCCAACTTCAAATTCTGTCTCCTCTTTATAATTTGTCTGTTATGACCTCACTGTGTAATAAATAAATGAAATTTTAAAGTTTAGTTATAAGGGGAATAAAATTTTAACAGAAGGCTGGCAGTGGCTCATGTCTGTAATCCCAGAACTTTGGGAGGCCAAGGAGGGTGGATCACTTGAGCCTAGGAGCTCGAGATCAGACTGGGCAACACAGTGAGACACCATCTCTAAAAAAAAAATTGAAAAATTAAGTGAGCGTGGTGGCTCATGCTTGTAGTCCCAGTCAGTCAGAAGGCTGAGGTGGGAGGATCGCTTGAGCCCAGGAAGTTGAAGCTGCAGTGAACTATGATTGTACCACTGCATTCCAGTCTGGGCAACAAAGCAAGACCCTGTCTCTCAAAAAATCGTTTTTTGCTTTTTGTTTTTTGTTTTTGGTTTTGAGGTGGAGTCTCCCTCTTTCGCCCAGCCACAGTGCAGTGGCACAATCTCAGCTCACCACAACCTCCGCCTCCTGGGTTAAGCAATTCTCCTGCCTCAGCTTCCCAAGTAGCTGGGATTACAGGTGCCCACTATCACACCCAGCTAATTTTTGTATTTTTAGTAGATACAAGGTTTCACCCTATTGGCCAGGCTGGTCTCAAACTCCCAACCTCAAGTGATCCACCCATCTCGACCTCCCAAAGTGCTGGGATTACAGGTGTGAGCTACCCCATGTGGCCAAAAAAATGTTTTTTAACAAAAAAAGAGCCCATCATAAAACTGGCCATTTGTAAATACTGGTACAGCAAATTCCTTTGAATATCAAACCACTAAGATAAGTAGGAAAGGCCATTTGCTAGGTAATAGCCTAATAACCATATTTGAAATCTATGAAGCAAAGAAACAGCAGCTCGGGAAAACTGACACACAGGTATAAAGTTACCAAGAGAAAGTGTCAATTGTACTGACTCATCCTAATGACACTGAAAATTTTGTGACAACAGACAGTGGCTAGGTAATCTAAACCAAAATGATTTTTTAAATCTCCAACCAGCCAACAAGTACTAATAATAAACATGTAAGAAAATGTGAATGAGAGTAGAAATTTAAAAGAATATTTTTTTACTAATGCATTTAGTGAAAACTGTAGAGGCTTGTCTAAGCACAACTTTCTGCCTTCATGTGGATTCATATGGGGAAATGTAATCAATCCCTTACTCAATGAATCTAATAGCAGGTGAAAGGAAGTCTAATGGACCACTGGTACTATAAACTTATACCTAACCTAAATTACTTCCTGTTCTTCCAAATACATTTGATAATCATTCTTTCATTTTTCACATAAAACTGTAAGATTCTTTGTGAAACATAGGACTAATATCCACAGGCCTTTCAGTGTACAGTAAAACAAACAGATCATAAAAGCAATCATAAAAATGCCAGCAATTTTAAGCAGCTGATATAGGTTATAAATTTAAAGGCAAGCTCGCTCTCTCCTAACAGTTTTCTGTCTATTGTCGACTTAAATGGTTTCAACATGAACTGAGTGTCTGCTAATTTTAAGGGAAGTTTGTGTGCAGTCCTTAATTATTCTTACAGCTTAAAATGCTAAAGATGGGGGAAAAAATCAACTGACTGATCCAACAGGGAAGAAAGGCAGGAAGGAAAAATAAAGGCAGGCTGGCTATTCTTTGACTCTCCCATTTCTTTGGACTGTAGTGTTAGAAACTTGATGTGAAATGAGACATGAGTGTTTTTTATTAGAGCATTTTAACATACCATTACTTCATAATCAGGACCCAATAGGTTTTCCCATCTGGATTTCAGCTCATTTTCTGGAGAGTCTGGGGCTTTTTCTGGATATTAAAAAAAAAGAGAGAGAGAGAGAATGTTGAAACTACTGTGAGCCAAACACACTTAACTGCTAAATTTTTCAATAACAGTCCAGTTTCAGTAAGTAAAGGGGAAATGAATAAAAAGGAAAATGCATTAACTTAGGTCTACTAGGTAAAGTGAATCAGAGGTGACTTATAAAACTAACATAAAATGTAAAGACCAGCTGTGACCAAATTACGAAAGAGCTTTTTTTGTTAAGGGATATTTTAAAGGAAAGAGAACATGATGAGTTATACATGAAATTTAAATTATATACAGTTTATATGTAAACATCCTATAGTTTACAAGTAAAATGCATCTGGCTTTGCTTTATAATACATTAGGACATAGAAGGATTTAATTTAAATGTTAATCACTTCAAAGTAGTTCCATTCCAGCTGCCCACTAGAAAAGTAAAAACTTATCAAGATATCTTTACTATCAGCAGCGCATATCAACACAATACAATCAGACTTTTCACATGGGTAGCTATAAAGGCTTGTCTGGTTTAATTCAGTCAAAGTTCCATGAGCTTTAATACAATAGAAACTCTGGTTTCACACTAGTCTTTTGTTGCTTGGTTATTAAGATATTTGTATCTTTATGACTTTCTTGAGTGTAATACTGTCTGTGTTGCATAATTTTATACAGCCAAAACAGATTTTAAGTGTCTTGCCTGTCCTCCACATGACTATAGGCAGAAGCTCAGTGCATGGTGCATAGTATGAATAATGTCTAATAGGCAAAAGTCAAAGTACTAAAACTGAAGTTATAACTTATACCCATAGCAGTAGCAGAAAATGAACAAACTTCTACGTTTTTTAACTTAAAGAAAAACTGTCTCAATATTGTCTTAAGATTAAACAAGTCACAGAACAGTTATCACAACTGATATAACCATCTGCCTAAAATCAAATGTAACTTGCAGTATCAGTTCTTTTAGTCTTCAGCATGGACAGCTCATCTTGGATAAGCATATAATGTTCAATGACATAATACAAATCATTAAGCGAAACAGGCTAACCTCAAAAATCAGTGACTAACACTAATGAACACTAAAGAACTTAAATTACTACATTTATAAAAGAACACCCGTGAAATATCTATATTAATTGCTATGCTAGATTTCATTTAGGGGATGACTAACCAAAGATCCTATTAAAAACAAAAAATCAAATTCATTTGGGCTCTGCACCTTTGTGCCTATTCCTGTTAGTATTTCCTTAAGAAATTACATTAAGAGTTCTAACATCTTGCCTTATAAATTTCTTCTTATAAATTTCCAGTAATTTCTTATCTGGTAAACAAATTTGAACAAAATTTGCAATTTATTTGTTGAATTCTAAGCTTAAAAACATGGCTCTCATATGACAGTTAATATATATGTATAATATAATGTTGACATTTCACCAGCAATTCTTTTGACTATATTTTTACCTTTCAGTTGTACAACAAAAATACAGTCATGTGTTTTAAACCACAGTACAAAAGCCTAAGTGCTAGAGAAAAGAGATATACTTTCAGCAGCTCAATAAATCCTAGGTTACACAAAATGATCAAAAAATGAATAACATGATGATCTGAAACAATTATTCCAAAGGCAAAAAGAGAGCTAACCTCATAGCAGTTAGTAGATTTTGGTTTTACTCTAAAGCTAAAATTATACATATGCAAGAAGAAAAAAATGTAGTGAAGTTGATCCAAATAGCACACATGAAATATTTCTAAAACTGATACTTCCTGGTCAATTGTAGGTATACTCTTTAATTTTTGCAAATATAACTAAAAAATGGTATGTCATTTTTAAAATTCGTATTTCTTTCATTACAAATGAAGTTGATATGTCAGTGTTGTTATTAGCTTTTTGTATTCCTCTTTCGTGAACCATCTGTTCACTGTCTTTACCTGCTTTCATTTTAGCAAGTAGGACTTAATTTAAAATGGGAACATAGTATATAAGATGCCAAGACCGTCACATTGATGATGAAAATCTTGTAGTGCACGTCTTGGAGTTAAAGTCTTAAGTATCAAGAAGTAAAATAATTTCATTGTTTCTATTACTAACAGTAAAAGTTGAGTGCAAATTGTATAAAATTAGGTACTTTGATTAGTAAAAAAAAAAATTGAATGTTTTGTCATTTATTTTATTAAGCATGCCCAGTTAAGCCAAGCTTAGTAAATAATGTTTTTTAAACGTCAGGTAGCATTTAAAATAGAGGAGTACTGTTATCCCTAGCGTGAGTATAACGATGATACGAAAAGCTTTGTCTTGTCATTATAATTTAAAAAAAGGAACATTTATTATGGAAAGGATATTTCTAAAACTGTATCTAATTTCAGAATGTACTCGATTTTCATCTGACTTTTTACTGAAAATCTGAGCTCAACTCAGATTTGCAAAGATAAACTGCAATCTACTTGACTCAAAAAGAACAAGGTAAATTTCCAAATCATAGGCTATTCTTTCCTGACCTGAGACAAGACAAAGCCAAAAGCCAAAACTTCTCAGGAACATGGATGGTGTTAAGTACTCAAGGAGTTTCATTTAGCAGGCGAGGCTTTCCCAGGCACTTTTATGCAGGGAACTGTGTGCAACTGTTACTCAATGAACTTGGAGAGTAGAGTCCACTATAATAGCTAAGGTATCAAAATACAAAGTAAAAGGACAAAGCTGCAAATCAATTTAAAAAAAATTAAAGAATAAATGTATAACAGCCTGGCAATTCGATGCAACTTATAGAAATGTATACATTATTAATTTTTATAATAAAAAACATGTATAATGAAAAAGAAACATATGCTATATGTGTATAAACAGCAATAATCTATAGATATAGACATATCAATGATAATATATAAGCTAAGGTGGTTCCCGCCTATAATCTCAGCACTCTGGGGGGGCCAAGGTGGGAGGATGGCTTGAGGTCAGGAGTTTAAAACCAGCCTGGACAACACAGTGAGACCCCATCTCTACAAAAATTAAAATGAAATTAAAAACTTAACATAAGTAAAGAAAAATTAAACAAGAGCTTGGTCTCCAACGGTCACAGTGTTAAAATGTTGATATTGGCTGGGCACAGTGGCTCACACCTGTAATCCCAACACTTTGGGAGGCCCAGGTGGGCAGATCATTTGAGGCCAGGAGTTCAAGACCAGCCTGGCCAATATGGTGAAACCCCATCTCTACTAAAAATACAAAAATTAGCCCAGTGTGGTGGCAGGCACCTGTAATCCCAGCTATACTTGGGAGGCTGAGGCAGGAGAATCACTTGAACCTAGGAGGTGGAGGTTACAGTAAGCTGAGATCATGCCACTGCACTCCAGCCTGGGCAACAAGAATGAAACTCCATCTCAGGGTCTGTCGTGGGGTGTGGGGAGCGGGGAGGGAGAGCATTAGGAGAAATACCTAATGTAAATGACGAGTTAACGGGTGCAGCACACCAACATGGCACATGCACACATATATAACAAACCTGCACGTTGTGCACATGTACCCTAGAACTTAAAGTATAATAAAAAATAAAAGAAGAAAAAACAAACTCCATCTAAAAAAAAAGATGTTGATATTAACAATATGCTATTTTATATCTCCAAAATGCCTATAAGATTTCTCACATTATATTAAATATAAAGAGAGAAAATGGTTAACAAATGAAGAAGTCTGTTATTGCAAAGTGAATGCTTTGTACCTACCCAATTTTTCTAAGGCTTGTATGTTGTCATTTTTTAAATTATCCATTCTATCTTTAATTTCCTCCTGTTCACCGTCCACATTAGTTTCAGTTTCCACTGCTCCAGTTAGAAAGAGAGCTGGTGGTTTGGGTGGTTCAACAACAGTTCCTAAAACCAAAAAATACATATTTAAAAAAAATTTTTGTAATGCTAACTTGAATTATTAGTTGTTGAGGACTATATTTAAGTGAGCATATTTTACTCCTGGTCTCCCATTTCATGACCTTATTAAATCTGAGATAACTTACATATACGATTCCTTAAACCCAAAATGCCATGTGTAATAGATAATCAATCAATTCCTTAAAAAATGAACTTGTTAATAGCATTGAAAAGGATAAGGAACTAAACAATGAGAAGAGAAAAGCAAGGTAAACTCAATGACAAAGAAGGGGTTAGATGCTTTTCAATATATCCTTGGGAAAAAAAAAATGCTAAAGTCCTAAGCTCTTACTGTTCTGGTGGGCAGGAAGCAAGACCTGCAGAATAGCTGGACCAATTGCTATGGGCTCTCCTATGTTCTGGCATGACATCATCATGACGCTGACAAACAAACCTACACAGGTAACCTTATTACTTAGAAGGGAGTTAGAAAGAATTCCCCTTGGTGTAGAGATTCCTCATCTTGCTAAATTGAGCTAAGTAAAATAATAGAGGAACTGGAAAGGAGCAGTGGCTCATGGCTATGAGTGCTTTGGGAGGTTAAGGTGGGAGGATCATATCAGGCCAGAAGTTTGAGACCAGCCGGGGCAACTTAGTGAGACCCAATCTCTACTCCCAAACAAAAAATCTTCTTTAAAAATTAGCCAGACATGGTGACGTGCACCTGTAGTCCTAGCTACTTGGGAGTCTGAGGTGGGAGGATTTTCTGAGCCCAGGAGTTTGAGGCTGCAGTGAGCTATGATCGTGCCACTGTACTACAGCCTGGGTGACAGAGCAAGACCCTGTTTTTTTAAAAAAAACACAGGAGTTACTCAAGTTTTCACTGTCAACCATAAGTTGCATAAGAGTGATTCTACGTTGTGTTTTAAATAATTACACATCACTTATAAAGTATTCTTATAAAAAATAATTAAGGCCAGGCACAGTGGCTCACGCCTATAATTCCAGCACTTTGGGAAGTCAAGGCAGATGGATCACTTAAGGTCACGTGTTCAAGACCAGCCTGGCCAACATGGTGAAACCCTATCTCTACTAAAACTACAAAAATTAGACAGGCACGATGGCGCATGCCTGTAATCCCAGCCACTGGGGAGGCTGAGACACGAGAATCAAGAATTGCTCATTCACAGATACTGGGTATCCCTACATTCAGTTGGTGTGATAAACTGAAGCCAAGAGCTCTTTCAGAGCTATTAAACACCATTATAGGGAAGGATTCCAAGATGGCCAAATAGGAACAGCTCCAGTCTATAGCTCTCAGCGTGAGTGCAACAGAAGACAGGTGACTTCTGCATTTCCAACTGAGGTACTGGGTTCATCTCACTGGGACTGGTTGGACAGTGGGTGCAGCCCACGGAGTGTAAGCTGAAGGAACGCGGGGCATCGCCTCACACGGGAGGCACAGGGGTCAGGGAATTCCCTTTCCTAGCCAAGGGAAGCCGTCACAGACACTACCTGGAAAATCGGGACACCCTTGCCCTAATACTGCACTTTTCCAACGGTCTTAGCAAATGGCACACCAGGAGATTAAATCCCATGCCTGGCTTGGCGGGTCCCACGCCCATGGAGCCTTGCTCACTGCTAGCACAGCAGTCTGAGATTGAACTGCAGGGTGGCAGCAAGGCTGGGGGAGTGACGTCCACCATTGCTGAGTTTTGACAAGGTAAACAAAGCGCCTGGGAAGCTCCAACTGGGTGGAGCCCACTGCAGCTCAAGGAGGCCTGCCTGCCTCTATAGACTCCACCTCTGGGGGCAGGGCATAGCTGAACAAAAGGCAGCGGAAACGTCTGCAGACTTAAAAGTCCCTGTATGACAGCTTTGAAGAGAGCCCTGGTTCTCCCAGCACGGAGTTTGAGATCTGAGAACAGAGAGACTGCCTCCTCAAGTGGGTCCCTGACTCCCGAGTAGCCTAACTGGGAGACATCTCCCAGTAGGGGCCGATTGAAACCTCATACAGCTGGGTGCCCCTTGGAGATGAAGCTTCCAGAGGAAGGATTAGGCAGCAATATTTACTGTTCTGCAATATTTGCTGCTCTGCAGCCTCCACTGGTGATACCCAGGCAAACAGGGTCTGGAGTGGACTTCCAGAAAACTCCAGCAGACACGCAGCTGAGGGTCCTGACTGTTAGAAGGAAAACTAACAATCAAAAGGAATAGCACCAACATAAACAAAAAGGATATCCACACCAAAACACCATCTGTAGGTCACCATCATCAAAGACCAAAGGGAGCTAAAACCATACAGATGGGGAAAAAACAGAGCCAAAAAGCTGAAAACTCTAAAACACAGAGTGCCTCTTCTTCTTTCTCCAAAGGATTGCAGCTCCTTGCCAGCAATGGAACAAAGCTGGATGGAGAATGACTTTGACAAGCTGACAGAAGGAGGCTTCAGAAGATCGGTAATAACAAACTTCTCCAAGTTAAAGGAGGACGTTCGAACCCATCGCAAGGAAGCTAAAAACCTTGAAAAAAGATTAGAAGAATGGCTAACTAGAATGAACAGTGTAGAGAAGACTTTAAATGACCCGATGGAGCTGAAAACCTTGGCATGAGAACTACGTGACGAATGCACAAGCTTCAGTAGCCAATTTGATCAAATGGAAGAAAGGGTATCAGTGATCGAAGATCAAATAAATGAAATGAAGCAAGAAGAGAAATTTAGAGAAAAAAGAGTAAAAAGAAACAAACAAAGCCTCCAAGAAATATGGGACTATGTGAAAAGACCAAATCTATGTTTGATTGGTATACCTGAAAGTGATGGGGAGAATGGAACCAAGTTGGAAAACACTCTTCAGGATATTATCCAGGAGAACTTCCCCAACCTAGCAAGGCAAGCCAACATTCAAATTCAGGAAATAACAGAGAACGCCACAAAGATACTCTTTGAGAAGAGCAACCACAAGACACATAATTGTCAGATTCACCAAAGTTGAAATGAAGGAAAAAATGTTAAGGACAGCCAGAGAGAAAGGTCGGGTTACCCACAAAGGGAAGCCCATCAGACTAACCAGAAGATCTCTCTGCAGAAACTCTACAAGCCAGAATAGAATGGGAGCCAATATTGGACATTCTTAAAGAAAAGAATTTTCAACCCAGAATTTCATATCCAGCCAAACTAAGCTTCCTAAGTGAAGGAGAAATAAAATCCTTTACAGACAAGAAAATGCTGAGAGATTTTGTCACCACCAGGCGAGCTCCTGAAGGAAGCACTAAACATGGAAAGGAACAATCAGTACCAGCCACTGCAAAAACATGCCAAATTGTAAAGACCATCAATGCTAGGAAGAAACTGCATCAACTAACGGGCAAAATAACCAGCAAATATCATAATGACAGGATCAAATTCACACATAACAATATTAACCTTAAATGTAAATGGGCTAAATGCCCCAATTAAAAGACACAGACTGGCAAATTGGATAAAGAGTCAAGACCCATCAGTGTACTGTATTCAGGAGACCCATCTCATGTGCAGAGACATACATAGGCTCAAAATAAAGGGATGGAGGAAGATCTACCAGAAATACAAACTAACATCAGATAATACTATAAACACCTCCATGCAAATCAACTAGAAAATCTAGAAGAAACTGATAAATTCCTGGACACATACACCCTCCTAAGACTAAATCAGGAAAACACTGAATCCCTGAATAGACCAATAACAGGTTCTGAAATTGAGGCAATAATTAATAGCCTACCAACCAAAAAAAGTCCAGAACCAGACAGATTCACAGCCAAATTCTACCAGAGGTACAAAGAGGAACTGGTACCATTCCTTCTGAAACTATTCCAATCAATAGAAAAAGAGGGAATCCTCCCCAGCTCATTTTATGAGGCCAGCATCATCCTGACACCAAAGCCTGGCAGAGACACAACAAACAGAAAAAGAGAATTTTAGACCAATATCCCTGATGAACATCGATGCAAAAATCCTCAATAAAATACTGGCAAACCAAATCCAGCAGCACATCAAAAAGTTTATCCACCACAATCAAGTTGGTTTCATCCCTGAGATGCAAGGCTAGTTGAAGACGTGCAAATCAATAAATGTAATCCATCATATAAACAGAACCAAAGACAAAAACCACGTGATTATCTCGATAGATACAGAAAAGGCCTTTGACAAAATTCAACAGCCCTTCATGCTAAAAACTCTCAATAAATTCGGTATTGATGGAAGGTATCTCAAAATAATAAGAGCTATTTATGACAAACCCACAAGCCAATATCATAGTGAATGAGCAAAAACTGGAAGCATTCCCTCTGAAAACTGGCACAAGACAGGGATGCCCTCTTTTACCACTCCTATTCAACATAGTGTTGAAAGTTCTGGCCAGGGCAATCAGGCAGGAGAAAGACATAAAGCATATTCAATTAGGAAGAGAAGAAGTCAAACTGTCCCTGTTTGCAGATGACATGATTGTATATTTAGAAAACCCCACTGTCTCAGCCCAAAATCTCCTTAAGCTGATAAGCAACTTCAGCAGTCTCAGGATACAAAAGCAATGTGCAAAAATGATAAGCATTCCTACACAGCAATAACAGACAAACAGAGAGCCAAATCATGAGTGAACTCCCATTCACAACTGCTTCAAAGAGAATAAAATACCTAGGAATCCAACTTACAAGGGATGTGAAGGACCTCTTCAGGGAGAACTGCAAACCACTGCTCAACGAAATAAAAGAGGATACAAACAAATGGGAAAACATTCCATGTTCATGGATAGGAAGAATCAATATCGTGAAAATGTCCATACTGCCCAATGTAATTTATAGATTCAGTGTCATCCCCATCAAGCCACCAATGACTTCCTTCACAGAATTGGAAAAAACTACTTTAAAGTTCATATGTAACCAAAAAAAGGCCCGCATTGCCAAGACAATCCTAGGTAAAAAGAACAAAGCTGGAGGCATCATGCTACCTGATTTCAAACTATACTACAAGGCTACAGTAATTAAAACAGCATGGTACTGGTACCAAAACAGAGATATAGACCAATGGAACAGAACAGAGCCCTCAAAAATAATACCACACATCTACAACCATCTCATCTTTGACAAACCTGACAAAAACAAGAAACGGGGAAAGGATTCCCTATTTAATAAATGGTGCTGGGAAAACTGGCTAGCCACATGTAGAAAGCTGAAACTGGATCCCTTCCTTACTCCTTATACAAAGATTAATTCAAGATGGATTAAAGACTTAAATGTTAGACCTAAAACCATAAAAACCCTAGAAGAAAATCTAGGCAATACCATTCAGGATATAGGCGTGGGCAAGGACTTCATGACTAAAACACCAAAAGCAATGGCAACAAAAGCCAAAATAGACAAATGGGATCTAATTAAACTAAAGAGCTTCTGCACAGCAAAAGAAACTACCATCAGAGTGAACAGGCAACATACAGAATGGGAGAAAATTTTTGCAATCTACCCATCTGACAAAGGGCTAATATCCAGAATCTACAAAGAACTTAAACAAATTTACAAGAAAAAATCAAACAACCCCATCAAAAAGTGGGCAAAGCATATGAACAGACACTTCTCAAAAGAAGACGTTTATGCAGCCAACAGACACATGAAAAAATGCTCATCATCACTGGTCATCAAAGAAATGCAAATCAAAACCACAATGAGATACCATCTCACACCAGTTAGAATGGTGATCATTAAAAAGTCAGGAAACAACAGGTGCTGGGGAGGATGTGGAGAAATAGGAACACTTTTACACTGTTGGTGGGAGTGTAAACTTGTTCAACCATTGTTGAAGACAGTGTGGCGATTCCTCAAGGATCTAGAACTAGAAATACCATTTGATCCGGCCATCCCATTACTGGGTATATATCCAAAGGATTAATAAATCATGCTGCTATAAAGACACATGCACACGTATGTTTATTGTGGCACTATTTACAATAGCAAAGACTTGGAACCAACCTAAATGTCCATCAATGATAGACTGAATTAAGAAAATGTGGCACATATACACCATGGAATACTATGCAGCCATAAAAAAGGATGGGTTCATGTCCTTTGCTGGGACATGGATGAAGCTGGAAACCATCATTCCGAGCAAACTATTGCAAAGACAGAAAACCAAACACCGCATGTTCTCACTCATAGGTGGGAACTGAACAATGAGAACACTTGGACATAGGGTGGGGAACATCACACACCGGGGCCTGTTGTAGGGTGGGAGGAGTGGGGAGGGATAGCATCAGGAGAAATACCTAATATAAATGATGAGTTAATGGTTGCAGCACACCAACATGTCACATGTATACATATGTAACAAACCTGCACGTCATGCACATGTACTTTAGAACTTAAAGTATAATTTAAAAAAAATAAAAATTAAATTTAAAAAAAAGCTTCTGCATAGCAAAATAAGTAGTCAACGTAGTCAACACAGTAAACAGACAACCTACAGAATGGGAGAAAATATTTGCAAAGTATGTCTCCAATGAATGACTAATATTCAGGTTCTAGAAGGAACTCACACAACTCAATAAGAATAAAACAACTCCCCATTAAAAAGTGGGCAAAATACATGAACAGACATTTCTCAAAAGTAGACATATAAGTAGCCAACAAACTAACAATCCTGCAATTAAAACCACATTCAAACCACAACGAGACACCATCTCGTATCAGTCAGAATGGCCATTATTAAAAAGTCAAAAAATAACTGATATTGGCAAGGATGTGGAGAAAAGGGAACACTTATACACTGTTGGTGGGGATGTAAATTAGTACAACTTCTGTCGATGTGGAAAACAGTATGGAGATCTCTTAAAGAACTAAAAATAGCACAACCATTTGACCCAGTAACTCCACTACTTGGTATCTACTCAAAAGAAAAAAAATAGTTCTATCAAAAATATTCAGGTACTAGTACATTTATTTCAGCACTATTTGTAATACCAAAGTCATGAAAGCAATCGAAGTGTCCATCAACAGATGATAGGATACAGAAAATGTAGTATATACCATGGACTACTATACAGCCATAAAAAGAATGAAATTATGTTCTGTTTTGTTTTGTTTTCAGCAACATGAATGGTGCTGGAGGCCATTATTCTAAGTGAAATAACTCGGAAACAGGAAATTAAACACTCCATGTTCTCACTTATAAGTAGAAGCTAAACAATGGGTACACACAGACATGCAGAAGAAGATAATAAACACTGTGGATCCCAGAATGAAAGAGGCTGGTGGAGAGGGGGTGAGGGTTGAAAAATTACATATTCGGTATGATGTTCACTATTTGGGTGATGGGTATACTAGAAGCCCAAATCCCAACACTATGCATATATATCCATGTAATAAACCTACACATTTATCCCCTGAATCTATAAAAATAAAAAAATTGTTAAATTAAAAAATATATATTTATATAAATATTTATGTAAGCTACTTAAGGTCAATATGGCATTTGTGCCAGGCGGGGTGGCTCACGCCTGTAATCCAAGCACTTTGGGAGGCCAAGGCAGGCAGATCACGAGGTCAGGAGTTCGAGACCAGCCTGGCCAACATAATGAAACCCTGTCTCTACTAAAAATAAAAAAATCAGCCAGGCATGGTGGCGGGCAGCGCCTGTAATTCCAACTACTCGGGAGGCTGAGGCAGGAGAATCACTTGAACACGGGAAGTGGAGGTTGCAGTGAGCTGAGATGGCACCATTGCACTCCAGTCTGGGTGACAAGAGTAAAACTCCATCCATCCTGAAAATAAATAAATAGGCCGGGCGCGGTGGCTCAGGCCCGTAATCCTAGCACTTTAGGAGGCCGAGGCAGGCAAATCACGAGGTCAGGAGATCGAGACCATCCTGGCTAACACAGTGAAACCCCGTCTCTGCTAAAAAATACAAAGCATTAACCAGGCATGGTGGCGGACGCCTGTAGTCCCAGCTACTCGGGAGGCTGAGGCAGGAGAATGGCGTGAACCCAGGAGGCAGAGCTTGCAATGAGCCGAGATCGCGCCACTGCACTCCAGCCTAGGCGGTAGGGCAAGACTCCCTCTCAAAAAATAAATAAAAATAAATAATTCATTAATTTAAAAAATTAAATGGCATTTGTACAATTTGCACTATTTAGGCAATTTTTAATTTCATACATTGGATGCAGTTGGCATCTGTCTTTCAGCAACAAAAGTTCTACTATCACATAAAAGAGAAGAAGTTCTAACTGAAATACAAATCACTATTGGCTGAAAGCAAAGGCTTCCGGGTGTATTGTTATCTTCGGAGGAATATTTCCAGAGGAAAAAAATGATCTTCTGTCAAATTCTAATTGAAGTATTTCTTACTTCTTAGTTATATAACTAGTCACGTTTTTTTTTTTTCCTTTTAAGAGACAGGTCTGATTCTGTCACCCAGGCCAGCATGCAGTGGCAACTTTTTTGCTCACTGAAGCCTCAAACTCCTAGGTTCAAGTCATCCTCCTGCCTGAGTCTCCTGAGTAGCTGGGAATACAGGTGGGTGCCACCAGGCCCAGCTAATGTTTAATTTTTTGTACAGAAGGGGTCTCCCTATGTCGGCCAGGCTGGTCTTAAATTCCTGGCCTCAAGCGATTCTCCTGCCTCGGCCTCCAGAAGTGCTGGAATTACAGGTGTGAGCCACCAAGCATGGTTAGAATTACTGCACCCAGTAAGTCACTCATTCTAAATTGAATATGTGTTTCCACGATTATCAACTTTTGTTCATCTATACATTTATAAGTTGATAATTGAAAACTGACATGCAGCCAGGAACTGTGGTTCACACCTGTAATCCCAGTACACTGCACTCCAGCCTTTTTTTGAGGCAGTAATAGGAAACCTGAAGTCTGCAAAATGTCAAAGCATTAGACAAATGAGATTCCCCCAACAAAGGTGTCAAAGCTTTATTATTCAAATATATGTAATCAATGAAATTTGAAAGCTTTTAGAAAAAATGATTTTCATCTCCATTTAGAGATGCTCTCAGAGCTTAGTGCATGTCAAGGTGCACATCCTACCATTCTGACTGACATAGTAAGCAAAGAAAACACTTCTTCAATGAACAAATGAGCTGACTCATTTCTCCATCAGTGCATTACACGAGGCGGGGCAACATTTCCTGCTGAGACTCATGGAGCAACTTCCAAAATTGAACTGCTCTTCCAAACGTAAACTACTTGAGGGATAGAGGGGTGGCAAATTAATCACCTCTGGCTGAAAGTGGTTCAAGTGGAGAAGTAGATGAGGATGTCTTCCTTCGAACTAGGGTTAGGTGTACCACCTGCCCTGCATTTCGTAATACTTCAACAACATCTTGGTTGGCAAAACCCTGAATGTTCACGCCATTGACCTAAAACATCAAGAGAAACAGTAAACAGAGGTTTCAAGTTAGCTACTATTTTTAGCTCTGGCAAAAATGAGGTAATTCCTTTCATTCCAAAAATAAATTATTTAGGCCAGGTATGGTGGCTCGCACCTGTAATCCCAGTACTTTGGTAGGCCAAGGTGGGTGGATCACCTGAGGTCAGGAGTTTGAGACCAGACTGGCCAACATGGCGAAACCCCATCTCTACTAAACACACAAAAATTAGCCAGGTGTGGTGGCAGACACCTGTAGACCCAGCTACTCGGGAGGCTGACGCAGGAGAATCGCTTGAACCTGGGAGGTAGTGGTTGGAGTGAGCCAAGATTGTGCCATTGCACTCCAGCCTGGGTGACAGAGCAAGACAAAGGAAGGAGGGAAGGAGGGAAGGAGGGAAGGAGGGAGGGAAGGAAGGAAGGAAGCAAGGAAGGAAGGAAGGTAGGAAGGAAGGAAGGAAGGAGAAGGGGGGAAGTGGGGAAGTGGTAAGGGGAAAAAGGGGGGAGGGGAAAGGGGGAAAGGGGGGAAGGGGGGAAGGAGGGAAAGGGGAAAGGAGGGAAGGGAGAAAGGAGGGAAGGGGGAAGGAAGGGAAAGAAAGAGGAAGGGAGGGAAAGAAAGGGAAAGAAAGAGGAAGAAAAGAAAGAAAAAAGTAAAGTAAAGAAAAGAATTACTTTAGACCTTAGGATATATTTTTGAATAAGGATGTCAAACTAGTAAAACATGCTGAAAAACTTCCTCACACACTAGAAAGCAAATTCAAATTTGTCACTTAACTAATAGACTGAGAGATATAAAGGACTTTAATCTCTGATGCAATTCAAAATTCAAAATGCCATAAAAGATGACCAGTTATTATACATAGCTCTCAAGATGTATTAATAGAAGCCATTATTATCAAAACTGAAGAAGTCATCTAATACTTCATCCCTCTATTCATATCACCACATGATATTTTCAAGAAACACACTGATCTCCCTCCAATAGGTCTTCTAGCTTTCTGAAAAAGTGTGAGCAAGAACAGTATTCTTAATCTATGTCAAGCCCAATTCCTGAAGTCTATCTGGACCAATAGGCTTCCTCTCTCAATCTTCTTTGAGCTAGCTATAAGTATTTCAACTTTCCCCATAAGGCTTTTAAAGCCAACAGTCATGAAATGTGCTTTCTTAGATAGATTTGAAGGACAAGGACTCACATCATACCACGCAGCATTTGTTCTATGTTAAGCAATGTGTATGTATACATGTGTATAGACATTAATATAAGTGTATATATAAATTGAACTAATTCCTACTAAATGGGGGAAAGACCAGTTTTAATTGATAAAAGGTAATTATTACATTCTTAAATATGTAAAATACCTCAATTTTAGTTGTACTCATAATTATTAATAGAAAAACTACTTTCACAAAAAGATAAAAAGAGCTGGTTAATGGCCTATTAATTATAGATAAAACAGGTAAGTTTAAAGAACACAGTGTGGTGCTCACAGGGTTTTCTAGAAGAATGCTAGAACATCTTTCAAACATACATGTATAGAAAAAATATATTTTTTTACCAATATGTTTAGTGAATCCTTTATTTACTGACAGTGAAAAAAAAGTTAATGTAGGAAGAAGAGTCCAAAATAATGAGATTTTACTGTATAACAAACTTAATTTTTTAAAAAACCTTATAAAACTATATTAAGCTATTCCCCCTCTCACATAATAACGATCAACCTTTTTTTCAACTAGAATCAAACCTAAAACAGAGGCTAATTACTTACAGCAACTATTTTGTCATTCACTTGAATGTGGCCATTGTGGTACGCAGCACTGCCAGGTATTATACTTTTCACATAAATCCCTGAAGCTTCCCCTTAAGGTGCACAAACATACAGAAAAAGGAAGAAAATTCTAATTAGGCCTTGACTGCAAAATTTGTATCAAGAGGTTAATTAGCTAACGGGGTTGACTGGAGGTTTGATAAATACTATTTTGAACACAAGCAGAGAAATTGATGGATTATTTCAAACTGTCACCATCTCAAGTGACCCGAATTTGAAATGATTTGACTGATGACTACTCTTCTGGAAAAATAATCAGTAATGGAACCCTGATGAAATGTACTCTAATTTAAGCTGGAATTCAGGAGAGCCCAGAGTAAGTCTGACTCTCTCTTAGTCTGCCTCTACTCTTATTACTGATGTGGCATAACACTTCATCATTTTTTTTTTTTACCATCAGTATGACAAGAGTCTCCTAGGTCTTCCTGCCTATATTTAGATCACTGCTCATGTTAGCTTCACAGACACAGAAATAAGAAAACTATATATTATCTTTCTGTTTGTTTTTTTTTTTTGAGACGGAGTTTTGCTCTTGTCGCCCAGGCTGGAGTGCAATGGCACGATCTCAGCTCACTGCAACCTCCACCTCCAGAGTTCAAGTGATTCTCCTGCCTCCTAAGCAGCTGGAATTACAGGCGCCCACCACCACACCCAGATAATTTTCATATTTTTAGTAGAGATGGGGTTTCACCATATTAGTCAGGCTGGTCTCGAATTCCTGACCTCAAGTGATCCGTCCACCTAGGCCTCCCAAAGTGCTGGGATTACAGGTATGAGCTACCACGCCTGGCCCAGAAAAGCACATATGGTCTTAACAACTACAAAAGAAAATTAGTGGCCGGGCGCGGTGGCTCAAGCCTGTAATCCCAGCACTTTGGGAGGCCAAGACGGGTGGATCACGAGGTCAGGAGATCGAGACCATCCTGGCTAACACAGTGAAACCCCGTCTCTACTAAAAAACACAAAAAACTAGCCGGGCGAGGTGGCGAGCACCTGTAGTCCCAGCTACTCGGGAGGCTGAGGCAGGAGAATGGCGTGAACCCAGGAGGCGGAGCTTGCAGTGAGCTGAGATCCGGCCACTGCACTCTAGCCTGGGCAAGACAGCCAAACTCTGCCTCAAAAAAAAAAAAAAAAAAAAAAAAAAAATTAGTATAAGCTCAGCAACATGAAATAATCTTTACATATTATAAAATAAAACATTGAAACAGACAAATGGCTATAAAAATTTTTTTAATTTAAAATTTAAAACTTTAATTGTAAAGCATGCCTTCCCATGGGCAGCGACAGGAAGGGAAACTGGAAAATAAAACACAATAGATCTGCATGATTTTACATTTTTATTTCCAACTAAACTCAAAACATTGTTTGTAGGCCAGGTGTAGTTGTTCAGTTGTAATCCCAGCACTTTGGGAGGCTGAGGAGGGAGGATCACCTGAGCCCTGGACTTTGAGGCAAGCCTGGGTGACATAGTAGGATGTCATCCCTACAAAAAATTTTAAAATTAGCTAAGTGTGATATTATATGCCTGTGATTCCAGCTACTCTGGAGGCTGACGCATGAGAATCACCTGAGCCCAGGAGCTTAAGGCTTGTCTCTTAAAAAAAAACAAAACGAAAATTCCGGGCACGGTGGCTCACACCTGTAATCCCAGCACATTGGGAGGCTGAGGCAGACAGATCACTTGAGGTCAGGAGTTCAAGACCAGCCTGGCCAACATGGCGAAACCCCGTTTCTACTAAAGTACAAAAATTAGCTGGGCGTGATGGTGCACGTCTAATCCCAGCTACTTGGGAGGCTGAGGCAGGAGAATTGCTTGAACCCAGAAGGTGGAGGATGCAGTGAGCTGAGATCGTGCCACTGTACTCCAGCCTGGGCAACAGAGCGAGATTCTGTCTCAAAACAAAACAAAACAAAACAAAACAAAAAACTATAGAAGAAAAAATAAACATCAATTGCTTCCCATTGCCAACAAAATAATATACAAATTTCATAGAATCACATTCAAGGCCTTCCATAATCTGCCCAAATTTATTTTTTGCCTTCAATTTCCACTACAACTTTCCAAGAAAATAAGTCTGGACACACCAGGCTCTTATTACTATTTTTTTTGAAACAGGGCCTGGCTCTGTTGCCCAGGTTGCAGGTTGGTGTGTAGTGACACAATCATGGCTCACTGCAGCTTCTGCCTCCCCAGCTCAAGCAATCCTCCCACCTCAGCCTCCTGAGTAGCTGGGGCTACAATTTTTTTTTATTTTTTGTAGAGACAGGGTTTCACCATGTTGCCCAAGCTGGTCTTGAACTTCTGGGCCCAAATGAGCCGCCAGACTCAGCCTCCCAAAGTGCTGGGATTACAGGCATGAACCACCAAGCCTGGTCCACAGCACACACTTGACATTTCCCCAAAACAGCTGGCATTTTCATGATTTTACCTTTTCTCTAGCTTCTTTCTTCTAGTAAACTTTGACCTATCAAAACCCTTCTTCTTTTCCATTCATAGCTCAAATGCTGCCTTCTTTGTGAATTCTCCATTTCCCTCTGACAAATTGAATATGTCATCTGCCATACCATGATAGTTTGCTTGTACAGTGAGGGCCCCGCATAACTGCGGATTTCACATCTGCAGAATGTGAACCGAGTGTGGTGGTGCACACCTGTAGTCCCAGCTACTGGGGAGTCTGAGGCACAAGAGTCACTTGAACCTGGGAGGCAGAGGTTGCAGTGAGCCGAGATCATACCACTGCACTACAGCTCTGGGTGACAGAGCAAGACTCCATCTCAGAAAAGGAAAAAAAAAAAGATAATAATAATTTTTTAAAAAGAACTAAGTGTTTCTTACACATTTGTCTCCCTGAACAGACTTTTTCTTATTCATTTTTCTACCCTCTCCAGAACTGCTCAAAAGTCCAACGAATAGAATACAGCAAAAATGATTTTCAAAGACTACTTGTTAAAAAGCATGTTGAGTAGTGTTTGGATTTACCTGCTCCCTACCACCCCTAACTACCCAGTCCAAAAAACTTTTGAGGGTAAAGAAATAAAATGGGCCAGGCATGGTGGCTCATGCCTGTAATTCCAGCACTTTGGGAGGCCAAGGCAGGTGGATCCTCTGAGGTCATGAGTCTGAGACCACCCTGGCCAACATAGTGAAACCCTGTCTCTGCTAAAAATACAAAAATTATCTGGGCGTGGTGGTGCATGCCTGTAGTCCCAGCTACCCGAAGCCTGGGGTAGGAGAATCTCTTGAAACTGGGAAGTGGAGGTTGCAGTGAGCCAAGACTGTGCCACTGCACTCCAGCCTGGGCGACAGAGCGAGACTCCGTCTCAAAAAAAAAAAAGAAGTAAAACAGTAAAAAGATATTTCCTTTTTTCAGTAATGTAAACATGAAATTTTCTCAATGTTCTACCAGTCATTCACTTTCACTTAGGAACAAAATCATAAGTTTAGGAACTAATGATTCCTCTAACCACACTTAACATACTAAAAACTACTCGAAGTGGTTTTTTGCAACATTATTATACAATCCACACTGAGCTCTTTTGAATGTCATTAAATTCTGAACCTAAATAAAGGTGGCACCTAGAATCTAAAGGTTTGAAAAAAGATATTTCATTAGGCTAAAATAGCACAAGGTGGTCTGACATGAATTTCATTCGGGACTTTGAATACATTAGCACTCTTAATCCTTCCACCTGCTGTAAATATGCAAAATAACAATTTTTTTAAGGAAATGAACTCTGCAATCTTGCTATTAAAAAAAACCAGAACATTTTATAACTCTGAATTTTCATATTAGCAAGTATTTATGGAAAAGTTTATTTTTTTCTTATCCTAATAATTATCTTAAAATAAAGGAATAAATCTTATGGTGAAAGTTACCAAAGCTTTGCAGATAGGAGTTGAGAGAGTTTTATTCAGAGATACTTGAACTGTGTATTTATTCTCATAGTTTATTCCTTTTACATGAAAGGAAAATAGTTCTAATGAAAATGCTTGTTTTAACTTTTTTTTTTAGTGATAAAACATAACAGTCATACTTTGGGAACATTTACAATATGAAATATATACAGTAATCAATTTACTTATCACAAATCTAATCTAGCATAATATATTAACAATATTCATAATATAGCTATTTCACAAACAAAAGAAGGTACATTCAAATATTACACACTGAGCTGGCCAATTATACTCTTTTGTTAATGGATATCACGCCAGCTATAAAACTACTGAGATAAAAATGTGACTCTGTAATCACTGAGAAGTGACTGGTTGCTAGCATAGATTCATGGTTTTATTGTTCAAGATTTAAATTAAAATCTGCAAGTATTTAATTTTACTATCTAGAAACCTTAACATCCTTTATGATTATTTCCAAATATAAAATAGAAATGATTCATTTACCTGTATGAGATGTTCCAACATAGCCAACAATTCTAATTCCAAGACTCTGCCCATCTTCTTTCACGAGCTCAACATTATAAGTTTCAAAAAGAGAACTGTCCTAAAGGAAAAACCAAATTTAATTATATATGCTTAGTGGCATACCTGTGTGTACATAGTCAATCTGTGCAAGGTTTGTCAAGTATTTTCTTAGCGCCTATGGTAGGCAGAATTTTAAGACAGTCCCATGACCTTCAATCCCTTGTGCTACTCCCATATTGATGCCATATTACATGGCAAAATGGAGATTATCCAGGTGGGCCTAATCTCATCACTGGAGTCCTTTAAAGGCAGAGTTTTCTCCTGCTGGTAGTAGAAAGGGAAATGAAAAAGATCTGAATCATTAAGGACTCAACTTGTGGTTTGAAGATGGAGGGAGTTACGTGACAAGTAATGTAGGGGACCTTAAGGAGCCAAAGAGGTCTCTGGCTGGCAGCCAACAAATAAAAAGGGACCTCAGTCCTACAGTTGCAAGGAACAAGATTCTGCCAACAATCCGAATGAGACTGGACGTGGACTATCCCCAGGGCATCCAGAAAAGAGCCCAGCCAGGCCCACACCTTGATTTTGGCCTTCGTAAGAAGCTAAGCGGAGGCCAGGTACAGTGGCTCACACCTATAATCCCAGCATTTTGGCAGGCCAAGGCAGGCAGATCACCTGAGGTCAGGAGTTTGAGACCAGCCTGGCCAGCATGGTAAAACCCCGTCTCTACTAAAAATACAAAAATTAGCCAGGCGTGGTGGCACATGCCTGTAACCCCCACTGCTCCGGAGGCTGATACAGGAGAACTGCTTGAACCCAAGAGGCAGAGGCTGCAGTGAGCCGAGATTGCGCCACTGCACTCCAGGCTGGGCAACAGAGCAAGACCCTGTCTCAAAAAAAAAAAAAAAAAGAAAAAGAAAAAAAGAAGCAACAGCAGCTAAGCAGAGAGCCAAGCCAAGCCCACCCTGAATTCTGACCTACAGAACTGTGAACTAACAAAGGACATTGTTTTAAACCAGTAAATTTGTTATACAACAATAGAAAGCTAATATAACCACTTAGAAAAAAGTTAGGCTATATTTGTATCTGAAAGAACTACGAACATAAAGAAAAATTTAGAAACAAAACGTAAAACTAATTATTGTTCAGTAATATAAAAATATCGACCTAAAACTTATTTTATTTTCTTCTTTGTTGTTGGTTTTTTTGTTTTTTGTTTTCCAAAGACAAAATCTTGCTCTGTCACCCAAGCAGGAGTGCAATGCAGCAATCACAGCTTATTGCAACCTCAAACTCCTGGCCTCAAGCAATCCTCCCCCTTCAGCCTTCCAGGTAGCTGGGACTACAGGTGTGAGCTACTGCATCTGGCCCTAAAACTTATTTTCAATACTCGTCTTTTAAACTATTCTGTAAATGAGTAAGGTGTCTAAATACATAATACTTTGCTTTTAATTCAAAACATTAACATGAGAAAGTAAATAATTGATTCGATCAAGTTTCCACTTATCACATATTCACATTTGTCTCTCACTACAAAGTAGAAGACTCTGGGGAACTAGAGTAATGGAGGAAAAAGAAAATGTAACCACAATTTGGAGAAACTTTTTTTTTTTTTTGAGACAGTCTTCCTCTGTCACCCAGGCTAGAGTGCAGTGGCAGGATCTCGGCTCACTGCAACCTCCACCTCCTGGGTTCAAGTGATTCTCCTGCCTCAGCCTCCTAAGTAGCTGGGATTACAAACAAGCGTGTGCCACCACTCCTGGCTAATCTTTGTATTTTTAGTAGAGTCGGGTTTCACCATGTTGGCCAGGCTGGTCTCGAACTCCTGGTCTCATGTGATCCACCCACCTTAGCCTCCCAAAGTGCTGGGATTACAGGCATGAGCCACTGAGCCCAGCTGGAGAAACTTTTTAAAGCTTCTGATATTTCAAATAGAAAACTTCCACTCATACAGTTCCAAGTAGAGAAAGGCAACAACTTCCCAGAATACACAGAATGACATCTCAGGTGATGATAATCAGTGGACTTCCACCCTTTTCCACCATAATCATTTATCTTTCCTTTTGTTTTTGTTTCTTTCTTTTTTTTTTTTTTTTTTAAACAGAGTCTTGCCCTGTTGCCCAGGCTGGAGTGCAGTGACACAATCTCAGCTCACCACAACCTCTGCCTCCTCGGTTGAAGTGACTCAGCCGGAGAATCCGGGACTACAGCTGTGCACCACATCTGGCTAATTTTTGTATTTTTAGTAGAGATTGGGTTTTGCCATGTTGGCCAGGCTGGTCTTGAACCCCTGACCCCAGGTGATCCACTCACCTTGGCCTCCCAAAGTGCTGGACTAGAGGCACGAGCCACCGCGTCCGGCCCATTTCTCTTTTCTTTCCTCTTCCTCCTGGACCCTCCCTTTAACACCTATTTCTGGCCAGTCATGGTGGCTCATGCCTGTAATCTCAGCACTTTGGGAGGCCAAGGTGGGCAGATCACCTGAGGTCGGAAGTTTGAGACCAGCCTGACCAACATGGGGAAACTCCATCTCTACTAAAGATACAAAATTAGCCAGGCGTGGTGGTGCATGCCTGTAATCCCAGCTACTCAGGAGGCTGAGGCAGGAGAATCGCTTGAACCTGGGAGGTGGAGGTTGCGGTGAGCCAAGATCGCGCTACTGCACTCCAACCTGGGCAACAAGAGCGAAACTCCGTCTCAAAAACAAAACAAAACAAGCAAACAAACAAAAAACCCATTTCTTTGCTTTTACTTTATTATGTCTTCACTAAAAGCCCATGTTGAGATAGTGGGAAGGAGCTTGGAATGGACCAGAAACATGTGAATTCAAATTCCAGTTTTGCAACTTACTCCCTATAAGGTCTTTCACATGATGTTTGACTTTATTTTCCTCATCTATTAAATGTACAATAAGGCCTATCTGGCAGAATTACTGTGAAGATTTCAGATGACCTGAACAATTCCAGGTGTTCGATAATTTAAAATAACTATTATTATTATATAACTAAAATAATTAGTATAATAAATATTATTATTGATATCCATTCCCTTTAGTCAGCCTGTGGCTACCAGTGATAATTCTCACACATCAGCCAGTGTTAACAGTTTTCCCTCCACCACCTGGATGTCTCCTCACCAGCTCAGTGAAATAGACAAGGCAAGTATTATTATTCTTCAATTTATAAATAAGTCACTGATGCTCAGGGAGGCTGAATGACTTAACCCTGAGAAACAGCGAAATAGAAAAACCAACATGTCTAATGTCTCCAAATGAGTTTTTTTATTTTCCTGTTTCACTGGTGAGCGCGCAACTCACACCAATGTGGTGTCTCAAGTTGAAAGAATTTCTTATCTTACAGTGTGTCACACCCAGGCTTTGGTTTAAGATGAAAGAATGATATGTATAACTCACAGAACCAGGGCCTTTGCTGGCTACAGTAGGCAGGGCAACAGGTAAGGCTGCAGGGGCAGGAGGGGTGACTGAAATGTCACCAGCTGGATCTCTAGCAACGAGCATCCTGACTGAATTCCCACAGTTCCTTAGAACTTGTGCAACTTGCTCGCTGGTCATTCCCTGCACATTTGTGCCACCAATCTTCAAGATGTGGTCCCCTGTCTGGAGTCTTCCATCCTTCAATCCAAGAAAAAGACAAAATTATTTCGAGAAATCAATGCTCTAACTTCACTAGTTAATAAGAGTTCATCAGATTTTTGGCTCTGGCAAAATGGCTGACAAAGAAGCCACCTAAAATGCTGAATAAAATGGAGTACTGTTAATAACTGGCTGAAATGGTGAGAGTAAAGGAATTTCACGTAGAACACAAAGGAAAGGCTCAAAATGAGAAAAGTAACCAGTATTCTAAAAAAGGCCTTTGCTTGAGGGTATAAGCTCATGCCTAATGGCCTAGAGTTGGGTGTTAATGGCCATGTGTGCAAGGAAAAGGACAGAAAAGCCAGGGCCTCAAGAAGGAAAGGTCAGAACAGAAGCCTCCAGCATAAAGCTGGGAACTTGAAAACCAACATCCTCAGTGACATGTTTGAGGAATAGAGAGATGCCAGTGCGGCAACAAGAAAATGAGGGAAAAAAAGAGCAATCTAAGAGATGGGAGAGTTAACGGAGTCAGACAGTATAGGGCATCTTCTTTGCATGATTGGGAAGAGAAGGCATTGAGTAGGATTTTGAAACAGAAGAGTGACATTACCTGACTGACTTTAACAACAGAATTCAAGCTTCTGTGCTTAAAATAAACTACAGAAGAGGAAACGAGAGAAGCAAAAATACGAGTTGGGAGGCCTTAGCAATAATCCACAATAGCTTGGGTGTGGTTCACAGCTGGGGTGTTCAGAAGTGAGATTCTAGATAGATAGATAGATAGATAGATAGATAGATAGATAGATAGATAGATAGATTTTTGTTTTGTTTTGGTTTTGAATCAGAATCTCATGCTCTGTCACCCAGGCTAGAGGGCAATGGTGCTATCTCGGCTCACTGCAACCTCTGCCTCCGGGGTTCAAGGAATTCTCCTGCCTCAGCCTCCTGAATAGCTGGGATTACAGGTGCGCACCACCACACTTGGCTAATTTTTGTATTTTTAGTAGAGACAGGGTTTCACCATGTCATGCTGGTCTCAAACTCCTGACCTCATGATCCACCCACCTCAGCCTCTCAAAGTGCTTGGATTACAGGCGTGAGCCACCATGCCCGGCCAAGATAGATAGATAGATAGATAGATAGATAGATAGATAGATAGATAGATAGATATTTTTTTTTCTTTTGAGACGGAGTCTCGCTCTGTCACCCAGGCTGGAGTGCAGTGGCCGGATCTCAACTCACTGCAAGCTCCGCCTCCGGGGTTCACGCCATTCTCCTGCCTCAGCCTCCCAAGTAGCTGGGACTACAGGTGCCTGCCACCTCGCCCGGTTAGTTTTTTTGTATTTTTTTAGCAGAGACGGGGTTTCACCGTGTTAGCCAGGATGTATGCCCGGCCAAGATATATTTTTAATAAACTGTCAATAGGATCTGCAGATAGCTTCTATATGGGCTATGAGGCAGGAAAAGGGGTCAAAACTCTCAAGTTTTTAGCCTGAGCAACTGGAAAGATAGAGTTGCCATGAACTGAGATGAAGACTACAGAGGTACAGATGGGTGAGGTGGAAATCAGGAGTTCAGTTTCAGAGCTGTTGTCTTAGATACCTATTAGACATTCAAGTGGAGGTAACAGGTATACAGCCAGATACACAAATCTGAAGTTCAGTAGAGAAATCCAGACTACACATTTAAATTTGGGAGTTGGGGAGAGGTTAAAAAAAAAAAAAACCTTGCGGGTCATCAGCACATAGAAGGTATTTAAAGTCATGATTCTGCCAGCAGAGTGGCTCACACCTGTAATCCCAGCACTTTGGGAGGCCAAGGTAGGTGGATCACTTGAGGCCAAGAGTTCGAGACCAGCCTGGCCAACATGGAGAAACCACGTCTCTACTAAAAATACAAAAATTACTAAAAATACAAAAATTAGCCAGGTGTGATGGCACACACCTGTAATCTCAACTACTCGGGAGGCTGAGGCATGCGAATCGCTTGAACCTGGGAGGCGGAGGTTGCAGTGAGCCAAGATCACGTCACTGCACTCCAGCTTAGGCGACCCAGAGCTAGACTCTTATCTCATAAAAAATAAAAATAAAATAAATAAATAAATAAATAAATAAAGTCAAGATTCCAGATGAGCTGAAAGAAAAGATACATAATGTTATATTTCTTAAGCTAGGTGGTATGTATTATACACTGGTAACTATTGTTTTGTTTTGTTGAGATGGAGTCCCACTCTGTTGCCCAAGTTGGTCTTGCAAATAATTATTGTTTAATTATCATTTAAAATGTGCACAGATATTATATACATTCTTTTACATGTATATTTCATACACAGAAGGTAAATAATTTATCAAAATGAGTATCTGTTCAAAATGTTCATCATTTCCCTTCTTTGATAAATTTTTGAAACAGCTAATTTTTACAAAATTTTTCCTGAATTTGTTTAGTCAGAAATTTTGAATTCACCCTACTTATCTTTATTACAGCGCATTAAAGATACCACAATGTTAACACAGCTGGTTTTATTTAAACTTACACATGCAGAGCACCTTACAGGTTCAAAATCACTTTCATGTACCATCTCACTTAGAGAAGGACAACTATCAAATGAGAAAAACTGAGATACAAAAAGTTTGACTGACTTGACCAAGGTCACAAAGCTGATAAAAGGGTTGAACCAAAGTTGAATCCAAGTTGCTCACTAAGACTACTCTCATCCAGTTATTTGCCTTATACTTCAATATCTCCAGAGTAACATTACTGTAGCAAGTCAATCTCCTACACGCAAAGGCTTCTAGTAGATAGTAAATGTACTGCTTTCCTATTCTCCAAGAAACTGCCTATAACTCTCAAAAAGTTTGAATGAAATGAAGATCAAAAATAGATATTCTGCAACGTGGAGAGAAAGCTTGAGAACAGAGCAATGACTATTGGGTTAATCCGGTTCTAAGCTTCAAAATCCTAGTTCCAGGTGGCACCACCTGCAAGCTAAAGATGAGATTCTGAAGGAAGAAGTTTTTTAAAAAATCCTTTAGACTGAAAAGTCTATTCTCCATCCTTCCTTTTCGCCAATTTTACAGGAACCTAAATGAAGGAATGCTTTAGATTGAAATAATGCGTACAAAGTTCTGTGCTTTCAGAAGCCACTGGAAGGGACTGGAAGTGGAGAGAAGTGGTGCAGCAGAAATGCAATTTAATTCAGAAACATCTGGAAAGACTTAGAAAATGGAAACAGATGCAAGGAGGACATTGATATGAAAAAAGGAATGAAGAATTGCTGGATTTCTACTTTAATGGTGATAATTTGATATTCTGTTTTCATCCATGCAATAGACTTGAAACCAAATAAGCAACTACTTAAGAGAAAGTCAGTGGTCCTGATGAAAAATAAGGGTAAAGTTGCCTCTGTAAATCAAACTATTCTTCAACAGAATTATGCCTTGATCAAAAAATTTTATAAAAATATGTCTAATAAGTGTTTTCATACTTGGCTTGGCCAAAGAAGGACATTTTATCATAAAGTATATTTTTAGTCACTTCCTAGGCATTAGTTTTCTTCTATTTTACCTCAACTCTTAATTTAAAATGATGTCGATAATTTGCATCTGTCACTGAAAGTCAAACATTTTCTTCCTGCAGAAAAGCAGGTGTTCTAAAGAATTCATAAGTACAAAAATAGTCATTAGTCAGATTGATAGAAAGACACCAAAATGACAGCTATCTTGTCTAAGTCCAGCAGCCCCAGTCTGCATTTTATTGATATTTTCTGATCAACATTCTCCTTCCATAACCTGTCTTCTGTGTGAGGAAACTGAAAGGCATAAAGTCCCTTTTGTTCTTTAACAGAAATCGTCAATCAATGAAAACCAATAAATAGCTATGCCAAGATTCAAGTACACAGCATGCTAATCAAACATTCACATATAAAAGTTTTATTAATCCATAGATTCTTTCAAAAGAGAAAAAAATTATGCATACTGGCAAAGATAGTGCAAAAGGCAGAAAAATTAAAATAGCTGATGCAACAGGGGTATCACACACTTACAGTGAATGTACACCAGTAATCCCAGCACTTTGGGAGGCCGAGGCTGGCACATCACCTGAGGTCAGGAGTTTTTGTTTTTGTTTTGTTTTTGTTTTTGTTTGAGGTGGAGTCTCACTCTGTCGCCAGACCAGCCTGGCCAACATAGTGAAACCCCATATCTACTAAAAACACAAAAATTAGCTGGGCGTGGTGGTGAGCACCTGTGATCCCAGCTACATGGGAGGCTGAGGCACAAGACTTGAACCTGGGAAGTGGAGGATGCAGTGAGCCAAAATCATACCACTGCACTCCAGTCTGAGCAACAGAGAAAGACACTGTCTCAAAAAAAAAAAAAAAAAAAAAAAAAAAAAGGAGCAACTTTAGGCTAAAAAAAAAAAAAAACCACATTACTTTGCATTTTAACTTCTCTGATATGCTGTTGTGTATGATCATTTTTAAAAAATTTTAAAACCTATAGTAATTCAGACCTGAGCTACAAAAGAAGAAATCAAATTTGTTTCTTCAAAAACTAAAAAATGGGTCCAGGTACCCATGGCTCACACCTGTAATCCCAACACTTTGGGAGGACTGCTTAAAGTCAGGAGTTGGAAGCTGCAGTGAGCTAGGATCGTACCACTGCACTCTAGCCTAAGTGACAGAGCAAGACCCTGTCTCTATTTAGGAAAAAAAAAAGGCACCAAATACTTCCACAACTCAGAAAATGAAATAATAACTATGTTCGATTCCAGGCCAGTTTTATTATTGGTCTTCAATCAAAAGGCAACATGTCATTGATAGAAAAGGGTAACTTTATAAAACAAAATAAACACTTTTTCCCTAAAGGAATTAAAGAAACTATCCTATCCTACTCAAATTCCCAGAGCACTCATTAACTGATTTTTAAAGATAAAGAAAATATCTGTCTATAGAATCACTCAAAGCAAAATTGCTTGGGACTAACCAACCATTTAGTGACCTCAAGCTGGGCCTTCCTTACTCTACACTGAAAAGTCTCTCA